GACCAGGAGAGAGTCAGGGCTGGCTTACCCTCCCTCCGCCCGTACAAACCAGGTGCTCTTACCGCCCCCATTGTACAGACGAGGAAGCTGAGGCCTCTGCTCCAGCCGGCAGGGGGTCTCTCTATGTCTCTCTGATGATTTGGGAAAGTGGGGGCCGAGTGGTCCCCAGGCAAACTGGGACGACTGGTCACCCTAAGGCCGACCAGCCTGAGGACCCCGGGAGGCGGGACATGGCTCCAGGCGTGGTTCTGAGGGGAGGGTCTGTCTCCGCCCCAGCTGGGACCCCATCCTGGGCTACATCAACGAACAGTACGAGCGCTACCTACAGGAGGAGATCCTCATCACGCGCCAGCGCCACATCCCAGACACCCGCGTGCACTGCTGCGTGTACTTCGTGCCGCCCACCGGGCACTGGTGAGGTGGCTGGACGCACCAGGGGAGGGCCACCTACCTGCACGGGACAGGGAGGAGGAGGGGAAGGGGTGCCCAGTGGGGGCTGTGGGCTGGCTCGCCCATCACTCCTCACTCGCCCCCACCCGCCCGGGCAGCCTGCGGCCCCTGGACATCGAGTGCCTGCAGCGGCTGTGCCGGACTGTGAACGTGGTGCCCGTCATCGCCCGTGCCGACAGCCTGACTATCGAGGAACGGGATGCCTTCAGGCGCAGGGTGATCTGGGTGTCCGGGGCAGGGCTGGGGGCGGTGTGACAGAGGGCAGAGTGGGCAGGGCCTGCTGAGGCCACCTGTGTGTGATCCCCAGATCCAGCAAAACATGAGGGCTCACTGCATCGACGTGTACCCTCAGAGGTGCTTTGACGAGGACATTAACGACAAGATCCTCAACAGTAAGATACGGGTGAGAGGCCGCGGGGGGCAGGACGCTGGCGGGGCCGGGCCTGGGTGATTTTCTTCCCACTCATGTTTTCCCTCCGAAGATTCATCTCCCTCCACACCGCGGGGGCATGTGCGTGTGATTCTAGCAGGCATGAACCTCCGCCTGTGCGCAGACTCAACGTGTGCACATCACGTCTCCAGTAAGGGGCTTGCACCCTGAATATATAAAGACCTCGTACAACTCAAAGATAAAAGACAACCCAGTTGTAAAGTGGGCAAAAGATCTGAATAGACATATCCCCAAAGAAATCGATATGCAAATATCACGGATATCCAAATGGCCAACAAGCCACATTTGTCATCAGGAATGCAAATCATGACCACACTGAGACACCACGTCTCACCCCCTAGGATGGCCGCAGCCCAAAACACGAGTGTTGCTCAAGGTGTGAGGGAACTGGGCCGCTCGCTCACTGCTGGTGGGCGTGGAAAACGGTGCAGCCACTTTGGAAAACAGCCTGGCAATTTCTTAAATGGTTAAACATCCAGTTTACCATGCGACCCAGCAACTAAACTCCTAGGTATATGCCCAAGAGAAATGAAAACGGACATCCCCATGAAAACTTGCACAAGAATGTGCACAGCAGCATTATTCACGATAGCCAAGAAGTGAAAGCAACTCAGATGTTCGTCACCTGACGAATAGGTAAATACCGGGTGGTCTATCCACACGATGCCTGCTACCCAGCCATCATGAAACGGCACTGAAGCACCGACACAGGCCACAGCCCTGAAAACACTGTGCTGCGTTGGAGAAGTGAGGCACAGAAGGTCACATGTTGTATGACTCCATTTCCGTGAAATACCCAGAACGGGCACATCCAGAGACAGGAAGTGGGTCAGTGGTACAGCGGTGGGTGGCAGGGCGGGCAGAAGTGGGGAGCGATTGCTAAATATGTGTGGGGTTTCTTTTTGGGATGATGAAAATGTGCTGGAATGAGATTGTGAGGATACTTGCATAACCTTGTGATTATACTAAAAACCACAGAAATACACTTTAAAAGGGTGATTTTTTTTTTCAGCATGCCAATTATACCTCCATAAAGATGTTTAAAAGAAAGGGAGAGAAAGGAGGAGCTCACATTTTCATTTTCTCTGAATCAACTGACCTTCTCTAAGCCCCCGACCTGCCATCCATGTGATACAGTCACTGTCAGTCCACCTGGATCCTGCAAAGCACCTGGGCGAGCCTGGGGCTCATCTCCTGCACACCCCAGGCCTCAACCCCCTCGCCCAGGGACTCTGCCGACCCACACAGTGCTTTGCCAGGGTTAGAAAAAGGCAGCTCTCCCTTTACAGACGGGGGCCTGCATGTGATTTCAGCCCCACACAGCCCCATGGCCAGTCGTCTTTGTGCAGTGCACAGACCACACACCTGTTCACAGATGCCCTGCTTCCCATCTAGTACTCAGTACCTCTCTTATCCTCCCTTCATTGCTCCAGTGGGGAGAGCCTCCCTTCTTTCCCCTCCCCACTGGAGCAATGAACATGATTTCTTGTGGAAGACTCAAAGAGCCTTGACCTCCACCAGCTTCTGCTTTCTGTCCCAAGGCAGGCCAAGACAGCAGCCTGGCCACAGCTGGGACAGAGCTTGGGAAGATACAAGGAGAACATTCTCAAATTAACGTCTCCACAAATCCTCCAGACGTGTGGCATCCATTGAGGGCTGGGCACATAGTTGTCATTGTTAACGTCAGTACCGTTCCCCATCACAAATGAACTCCTAGAAATAAAAACAAACCCATACACAACAATTTAAAGTTTGCAAGTTCGAATTTCCACTTCTGGCCACGAGTGAATAAACAACTAGAGTTCACAATAGGGTTTCGCAAGCTTTTCCGGCAGACGGTAAATGTTTAAGACTCCCTGGGCCATCTGGTCTCTGCTGCAATCGCTCACCTCTGCTATTGTGCTTTGAAAGCGGCTCCAGACGAGAGTGCACGAATGAGCTAGCCGCGTGCCCATAAAACTTAACACGGGAAAACAGGCAGGGCCGAGCGGGGCCTGTGAGCCACGGGGTTCCAAGCCCCGGTTTATGACGTTATCTCTTTTAACCCCCACGATACCCCCCAGTGGTGATTACTGTTCCGTTTCACTGGCAAGGGATTGGACGTAAACAAGGTGTTACCCATTCGTGTGGTTATTTGTTGGTAATGATACAGTTTGCAAGGATCGCTCCGCTAACCTTGGCCCAGGCTGAGCACTTCCCAGGCCCCCACCAGCCCTGTGGGTCTGTCTGAGTTCCCGCCGCACACGCGAGGCAGGGGGGCGCTGGCTAGACTTTGTGTCCTTGGCCTCATTACAAACCTTGTGCTCCTTCCACTACGTTCCCGCCCGAAAGGGACCGTGCCCCGCCCCTGCCTGGGAGCCTTCTCGCCCGCGCCCCCAGCGGGGCCAATCCTCCGTCCGCTCTCCTCCCGCAGGACCGGATTCCCTTCGCCGTGGTCGGGGCCGACAGGGAGCATGTGGTGGACGGGAGATGCATCCTGGGCCGCAAGACCAAGTGGGGCGTCATCGAAGGTCAGAGCAGGGGCTGTGGGGAAGGTGCGGGCGGGGGCTCGGTGGAAACCAGGGCGGGCTGGCTGCCTTTGGCGTCCTTAGTACCCATCCCAGGGCCCGCAGGCCTGGAAAAGAATCTCTTGTTCCAGCCGGGAGGCCGTGGGCAAGTTGCCAGACTCTCTGGGCCTCGGTTTCCGTGTAGTGAAACGGGCATCAAGGTAACATCAGCCTCAAAGGCTGGCTGGAGGGGAGGAGCCGCCGCCGTGGGCGCTAAGGCTGGCTGGCTGGGGCTCACGGTGGGCTACTGGTGTGCCGGGCACCACGTGTGCAGCTCCCGGGGGCTCACGGTGGAAGCAGGACTGACAGGCCCTGTCCCCACAGAGCTGATGGGACAGGGACAGGTGGGAGACACACGGCGAGGGGACAGTGGAGGGGGTCGCTGCCGTAGAGAAGGCCTCGATAGGGAGGGGGCAGCTGGCCATGTCCCGCCTGTGTCGCCATAATCATTGGAAATATAGTATAGCATCATCTAGGCCATAACGCACGGTCGTCCCTCGGTACCCGAGAGGGACTGGCCCTGTGACGTGCAGGGATAGCAAAATCTGCAGATGCCCAAGCCCTGCAGTATTGAGTACTGGATGGGAAGCAGGGCGTCCATGTACAGATGTGTGGTGTGTGCACTGCACAAAGACAACTGGCCATGGGGCTGCGTGGGGTTGAAATCTGCGCCGCGGAACTGCAACACAGAGGCCAACGGTGTGCGATATGTAATAGGATGCTCGGTGGTTTCTTTGATTAACAACTATTTGGAGGAGCTGCTTGTCCCGGGCCCTGGGGACACAACAATGAATGAATGAATGAATGAATGAATGAATGAATGAATGAACGAACCAACCAACCAACCAGCAAAGGGGAGGTAGGGAAAGACAGTGAGAAACGTGGGAAAAGGGCGAAGGGAAAGTGCTCAGGTGGTGCCATAGCATGCAGCGGGCGCCTACTTGGTGCTCACCCCGTGTCTTGCAGTAGAGAACATGGCGCACTGCGAGTTTCCTCTCCTGAGAGATCTTCTCATCCGGTGAGGGTGTGGGGAGCCTGCGGCTGGGGGCTGGGGCCCAGGGGCGGGGGAGGCTGTGGTTGGGGCTGACCGCCTGCTGCCCCCCAGCTCCCACCTCCAAGACCTGAAGGACATCACCCACAATGTCCACTACGAGAACTACCGTGTCGTCAGGCTCAACGAGAGCCACCTGCTGCCCCGAGGGCCCGGCTGGGTGAACCTGGCCCCAGCCTCCCCTGGGCAGCTGACCACCCCCGGGCAGCTGACCACCGCCGGGCCTTTGAAGGCCTGCAGGCGGGCCCGCGACGACTCGGAGGACGGATTCTGAGCCCCGGCCGCCCCGGGCCTGCAGGGCTCCCCAGACCCCTCCTCACGCACGCCTGTGCACCAGAGCAGCTATTAAAGGTGGACATTGCTTTCTATGAAAAGCCGTGCTTTGCAAAAGGTGTTTTGTAAATGACTTCTTTGAGCTACTGGCAAGTAATAGGTTCTTTTTAAAGTAATAGCATGAGACCCAGGGCCCTAGAGACTCTTTTCTTTTCTTTCTTTTTTTTTTTGAGACAGGGTCTCGCTCTGTCACCCAGGCTGGAGTGCAGTGGTGTAATCACAGCTCACTACAACCTTGAGCTCCTGGGCTCAGGTGATCCTCCTGCCTCGGCCTCCTGAGTAGCTGGGACTACAGGCTCATGCCACCACACCTGGCTACTTTTTTATGTTTTGTTTTTTAAAACTTTCTGTAGAGACAGGGTCTCACTATGTTGCCCAGGCTGCCCTCGGGAGTCTTGAAGGCCTGGGAGGGGCTGCCTTGGACGCCCGGCCCCCTCTGGCCCAGAACCGGAGCCAAGTCCCCAGGCGGGCTCTCCAGTCCATCCCAGTCCCTCACTCTTGGCCCAGGCTAGGCCCATGGGCCCGCCACGAACACTTAGCATCTCCTCATCTTTGCAGCCTGTTCTCTGGCTGCCTTCCCCGAACTCCACGCTGCACTGCGCCCTGCCTTCCTCTCTCCCTGCCCCAGCGGAGCACTACGGTGAGCAAACAGCTCCCACTCTAGAATCCGGCAAATGCTGTGAAAATAAAATCCCAGCAGCAAGTCACTCACTCCTCCTTTGCCTTGACTTCCTCACCCCTAAAATGGGTTTGACGGCATCCCTCTTACGGCACCACTGTTGGAACAACACGCAACGATCCCTAGGACGTGCCTCCCACGACCCGGGAGGTGGCACAAAGACAGAGGCGATGGGGACAGCATGGAGCAGCAGTCCCGGGAGGAGGACCTGCTGCACACGTGTGAGTCCACTCTCCCAGGCTGCTCCAGAACCGCCAAGACAAGCAGACTTCATGGAATCTCACAGGGCGGGGGCCAAAGCTAAGTTAAGTTTGGTAACAAAAGGCAGGGTGATCCCTCTAATCTAGGGAGCCAGGCAGACACCCAGCTCCTGTAAGGATTAAGCACATGGTAAACATTCAACAAATGACAATAGGGAATAGTAGTATTAGCCCAGCTAAAAGTCACCCCCTCCATGAAGGCCTCCTAGACTTCCCCAGGCAATGCCCTCACTGCTGTCTCTGTGTATGCTTCATCTGGTTTGTGTTCTGGTCAGTCTCCCCCGACAGGCCGGGAGCCCCGTGAGGGCAGAGATATGTTAGCTTCGTCCCCTCGCCAAGCACAGGGCAGGTGCTCAGGACACGCCATGACTGAGTGGGCCCTGCATTGCCTGCCGCACAGCCATTTGCTGGCTGAATCACAAACCTGCCTCTCCGCCCCCACCCCAGGCTGACTCCCGGCTCAGGTAGCTCCCAGGGCCCGTGGGGACACATGCCACCCACAGCTAACATGTCAGAGTTGGCACGCTGCTACACGGAGGGTGAGACACTGTGCCACATCACAGCACACTCCCAAGCTTAGCCCTAGGGCTCGGCAATATGGCAATGTCTACAATGTTTCAGAAGCACACGCCCTTTGGCTCAGCAACTGCATTTCTAGGAATGGATCTTACAGATAGACCAGGGTTTCTCAACCTCAGCTGTCAGGATCTTGCTTTGTCACTCAGGCCTATGGAGTATGGCGGCATGATCATAGCTCACTGTAGCCTTGAACTTCTGGGCTCAAGTGATCCCTCGGCCTCAGCCTCCCAAGTAGCTGGGACTACAGGTGCCTGCAACCATGCCCGGCTAATTTAATGTCAGCACTTATTAGCATTTTGGGCTGGATCATTCTTTGTTGTGGGGGGCTGTCCTGTGCACTGTAGGATGTTTAGTAGCATCCTTGGCTTGGCATGGTGGCTCACACCTGTAACCCTAGCACTTTGGGAGGAGGAGGAGGCAGAAGGATCACTTGAGGCCAGGAGTTTGAGACCAGCCTGGGCAACACATCAAGACCCCATCTATTAAAAAAAAAAAAAAAAGAACAGATGCCACATGGACAATCTAGCATAAGCATCATTGTCAAAATTAAGTTTCTGATAAGGTTGGACAGCAGAATCAGTGCAGTGCTTCTAGCATGAGCCTGGCTGCGTCACTGATGAACAAATTCCATTCATTCATTTATTCACCATTTGGCAAACACTTACTGAGCACCTGCTAAGTGCCAAGCAGATCTGCCCCCTGTGTGGGCAGAGGGGGCATTATGCCCAAGTGGATGGCCACTCTAAAGAGGGTCTTGGGACAGAACCAGAGTCTTCCGAGAAAGGGTTCAGATGTCTACTCCAAGGCAGAGCTCTGATTACCTTCCCAGTGTTGAAGCCGGCCTCTTGGGGCGTGGTCAGGGCACAGGCCCAGGAGGGGGCCTGCCTGAGTTGGTCTCAGCTCCTCCTCTTTCCTAGTTGTGTGGCCTTGGGCAAGGCTTTGCACCTCTGAGCTTCCCTCATTCATGTAGATTGTGGGTTATAATGATATCTACTGGAGAAAGTCATCAAGATTAAAGTAGCATAGTAAAAACACAGTCCTGTGTACTCAGGAAGTACTTAAAAAACATTAGCTTTTATTATTAGCTCATGGAAGCCTTAGGAAAAGTGTACTAAGACACTCTTTACTAACCACTTTTTTGGGGCATTCTAGCTCTGTGATGATGCTTGTAGATCATTTAGTCGAATTAGCTGAAGTATTTGACTCGAATTGAATTGTTGGCTCTCAGTCATTTAGATGTTGGGAAATTGCTACTGACACCAGATCCCAGCAGCACACCCACAACTAGAGATCGTTCACTCCAAGACTGCAGCTTTCTTGACCAGCAGCCCCCACATTGTAAGGAGAAACTGAGGCACCCAGGGTCCTTCCTATCTTCAGTTCCCACCACAAGGCTGTAGGGTCCTGGAGCAGTCCCTACATCTAGCATCTGCCTTTAGAAATGCCTCCCACCCTGGGAGGGGCAGTCTCCAGAAATCAGCAGTGGGCAGCCAGTATCTCGTCCAACCTGCCTGGTGTGCTCACAATAAAAACTGTATACTGGTTGCTGGAAAAAAAATGAAACATGAGAAAGAATGAACAGTAGGAGTGGAAGTACAGAAAGGAGCAGAAACCAGAGAAAGACATGTCCGTGGCAGGAGACTGGTTTGTCCCCAGCCAGCCAGGGTGGTGGTGGTGGGTGGGGAGGAGGTGTTAGGCATTAGGTCTCTGGATGGCCAGAGCTAAAGGACCCAAGAGTCCCCTGGTCATTATGTCAATGATCATGTTATGGGTACTCTCAACCACTTTCCCCAGGCTCCACAATGACACCTAGTTCACTTCCTGTTCATGGAGCCTGCTTGTCACAAAGTGAAGCCTACTACGTAGTTGTTGACTAAATTAACAAATGAAAGAAATAAGCAATTGATAACCAAAACAGCCCAAGCAAATAACTTTTGGTTCTCCTTTTCCTAGAGTCTAAAAATTAAGGGATTGGACTAAGACAGTGGCCTGGGAACCAACACCACCCCCAACTCTGCTGCTTACTAGCTGCGCGTGTTCTTGGGGTGTGTCCTAGTTTCCTCGTCTATGAAATAGGGATAACTGTACCTATCAGTTAGGTACAGATAGGTAACCTACCGTATCAGTTAGGATTGTTTCAAAGATGAACCAAGTTAATAATTGCAAAGCGCCTAAAACGGTGCCTAGCAGAAAGTACTATGTACGTAAACAAATAAATTTCTAGGGTCCTCTCCACCGTGGACTTTTTCAGGCCAGGGAAGAACAGATGTGGAAAGGAGTCGGGCAGAGCGGCCCAGAGATTGCAGAGCCTCCTAGCTCTGGCGCGCATGCTCACTGAAGGTGCGGGACTATGTTACCCACAATGCATCCCTTCCAGGGCTACGTTACTTACCCACAGTGCCTACCGAGGGCCCGCCCACACGGCCTTGTTCGCACGCCCGGACAGCCAGCTCAGCCAATGGCGCGAGGACTGCGTTACCCACGATGCCTCGCGCGGCCCCGCCTTCGAACGGCCTCGTTCCCACGCCGGGCTGGGTTCTTCTACCTCCGGATCAGCGTTCCGGGTCGGCCCGCTCGCCGTGCGCCCCGCGCCCACAGCCCAGCTCGGGTCCTGGCCCGCTGCTCCCGTCGTGCCCCGAGCCCCGCACGGCCTGCAGCGCTGCCGGTGAGTGCGGGCGCGGGGGCGCGGGTCCCGGCTTAAGCTCCCATTCGGCCGCCCGTGCCAGCGCGGGAGTTTTCTCTGCGGCTTCCCGCACCGCTCCCGCTCCACCTGAGGGGAGGAGACGCCAGAGCAGCCCGGCCGGGAGTCCCAACCCTCCCAGGCCCCCACAGGGCCGCGGAGGAGCTGCAGGGCCTCGCTAAACTCAGACATGGGGTCAAGTTGGGGCAGACCCTGCATCTTCCTGGGCCCCAGTTTTCATCAGATTTCTAAAGGGACCCTCCATGAAGGGCCAACTGTGATAATAGAAAATAACGTTTCTCAAGCTCTGACCACGTCCCAGCACTGCGCTAAACCCTTCCCAAACATCCCTTTTACTCCAAGCAGCAACCTGTGTGTAGACCATGTTAACATCTCTGTTTTTCAAATGAGGAAACAAGCGCAGAGACCTTAAGTAATTTGCCTGAGAATTAGCGGGGGGTTAGTAGCGGAGATGGGTTTGTTCTTCAACCCTTTTCCTTTTGCCAGTGAAGATGATTTGGCCCTGGAACCAGGGCAGGGGCTTGCAGGTGCAGATGGCTTATCCGGCCCCAGTGCTGCACTCCAAATGATTTCATCGTCTCTCCACAGAGCCCTGGAAAAACATCTTTTCCTGTGTCTGGCCAGAGGTATAGGGAGTGACAAGTTTGACTTCAGGGAGGAGCAAGGCCTGCTGGGAACGATGGCCGCTGCCCCTGGCCTCCAGCCTCCGCCACCCCTGGAGCAGGACCTGGAAGAGCAGGACCTGGAGCAGGATGAGATCCTGATTGTGAAGGTGGAGGAGGACTTCTGCTGGGAAGAGGAGCCCTCCCTGGAGGTGGAAGACCCCAGCCCTGAGACTTTTCGCCAGCTTTTCCGGCTCTTCTGCTATCAGGAGGTGGCTGGGCCGCGGGAGGCCCTGAGCCGCCTCTGGGAGCTCTGCTGCCGCTGGCTGCGGCCCGAGCTGCGCACCAAAGAGCAGATCCTGGAACTGCTGGTGCTGGAGCAGTTCCTGATGGTGCTGCCGGGGGAGATCCAGGCCCGGGTGCGTGAGCAGCAGCCGGAGAGCGGTGAGGAGGCCGTGGTCCTGGTGGAAGGGCTGCAGCAGGAGCCCAGGAAACAGAGGCAGCGGGTGAGGTGGGGGGCTTTTTAACTCTGAGGTGAGGAAATGGGGCCCCTGCCATCCTCAGGGAGGGCTCTGCCACTGAGGTCTCCAACTGGCAATTCTTTGGGCTTTGGAACCTTAGCCAGCCTTGGCCGTAGGGTGGCCGGGGGCTGCCTGGGCGCTGTGAAGTGAAGAAGGCAACTGTAAAATGTTTCTCAGCCTCGGCCAAGGGTGTCCGCCTCTTAACCACATACAGCCCCACCTGCCCTTTCTGAGCAAGTGTGGGTTTGTTAATGCCATCATGGCACAGACCAACCAAGTTGTGATGGAGGGAGGTCTGGCACCTTCCAAGGCAGGGATTGGGGAGTTGAAGTGACCCCAACAGAGGGAAGAACACCAGGAAGAAAGGCCAGCAGCTGGTTGGGAAGGGGCACCCTGGTTAGACCCCTGAGAGGTTCCCTAGTTTCTCTAGAGACATGCTGCCCAAAATCGTAGCTGCCAGCTACAAGTCGCTCTTTAAATTATAGCTGTGTAAGATTTAAAATGTAAGCTGAGCATGGTAGTTCATGCTTGTCATCCCAGCGCTTTGGGAGGCCGAGGTGGGAGGTCAGGAGTTTGAGACCAGCCTGGGCAACATAGCCAGACCTCATCTCTAAAAAGAAAAAGAAAGATTAGCTGGGCTTGGTGACATGTGCCTGAAGTCGCAGCTACTGGGGAGGCTGAGGCAGGAGGATCACTTGAGTCCAGGAGTTTGAGGCTGCAGTGAGCTATGATGATGCCGCTGCACTATAGCTTGGATGACAGAGCCAGACCCTGTCTCTGAAAAACGTCACACTGGCCTTTCAGGGGCTCGGTTGTCACATGTGGCTAGTGGCAGCACAGGCAGGACACTTCCATCAGTGCACTGATGGAAGCACAGGCAGGACACTTCCATCTGTAGACAGCGCCTCTCTAGAGCACACTGCAGCTCCTTCCACTGACATCTGGAGGAGGGTGGGGAGCCTTACACACATTCCTCCAGCTTTAGTTTTAGTCGCTAAACTCCTCGAGATTAAAAATGAAAAGTCCTTTCCCTCTAGTCGTGTATCAATTAAAAGAAAAATCCTGCCACCTGTAGTCCCAGTTCATATTTCAGTGCCAGTGCTGACAGGTCCCCTTCCTTTCTGTGGCAGCCCCTGGGCCGCATGCTGTGGTTCTTTTGCAGCCAGCAGGACAGATACACTTGAGCACACCATCAGCCGTCTGTGGTAGCAAATCCTGCCATCGTGGTGGCCCAGGACGCAGGATCCCTTCCCAGCAGCCTCTTTCCTTGTGCCTCCAGCTTTGGGGTTTGGGGTTCCTCCCATGGTTTCCTCTGTCACTGTGTGCAGCACCATCTCTGCACAGGTACTGCGTGGCTATTGCTGAGCAGAGGAGGGCAGGCCCCACTCTCTGAGGGGACTATCCCCTCTTAGAGGTATACAATGCTGGGCGAGAGGGAGCCTGAGGCAGGGGTCCTCAAGGCTGGTTTCGCAGTTTCCTGGGATGTCTCTTGTCCTAAGTACTGTTACAGAGCTCTGTCCTGAGGCCCAGTTTCATCCAAGTCACCTGTTCTGTAATTAGGAAATAGATCATGTCAGTACCTGTAGATGATTTCAGAAAATCTAGCAAATGCAGTAATGTGAAATGAGGGTGGGACTGATTCGGGGCCCTTTGGGCCCAGGGTCTGTTGGGAGCACCAAGGAGCAGAGGGTATGAATGTGACAGTGACAGCAACGTGATGTGACAGGGAGAGGCTGTGGAGTTGAGCAGGCTGCCCTTTGCCCAGGCTGGGCATTGGCTAGAGGAAGGACTGCATGAGAGAGCTGGGCACAGGGAACGAGTCTGGAGGCAGCCCCAGGGACGGGGCACTGTCTGGGGTGCCTGAGATAAGGGTTAGGGACCCTGTTGGGGTTTTCCTTCTGCCTTTCTGGGAGCCAGTGAGCAGATCTCTGTCTGCGTGCAGGGCTCAGAGGTGCTTTCTGACGACATGGTGCCCCTCGAGACAGGGGGACAGTCCTCCAAACGCCAGACAGAAGCTGAGACAGAGGAGCTGTCCCTGCAGGAAGAGGCTCAGTGCTCCAGGCAGCAGAACCCAGCCCTGCTGAGCTGTGGGCCGAAGAGGGGTGAGTAGCCGCCCTTGGGTAGGACAAGCGGTACAGGGGAGGGGCCTGCCTAGGTGTGGTGCGCGGGCTCTCCAGCCAGGGCAGGGGGCTGTCTGGGCCTCTGGGGCATGTGCAGGGCTGAGTGGGTGTGCTGTGGGGCTCCGCCCATGACTCTCAGCTCCTCCCCAGGTCCACGAGCCTCTAGGGACCAGGAGATGGGGACGTCGGCCTTGTCCTTCCTTTCGGCCTGGTCAGAGGTGAGCAGCGCAGTCCTGGTCTGCAGCATCCTGGTGTCCGGCCTGACCTCCTGTGTGTCACACCCCCTGGTTAGGGGACACTTCTCTCCCTGTGGTGGGGCTTTGTCAGAGGAGCTCCCCCTGCAGTTTCCCCTGTTCTGCCCCAGTCCTGACCTCCTGGGAGTTCTTGCCTTCTCTCCAGATGCCATCTGAGTATCAGACAGTGCCCTGGAAGGTTCTGGGGTCCAGCAGTGAGGTGGGGCAGTGACCTCCAACCACGCTGGTCCTCTCTTGGGACCCTGGGTAGGATACACTCCACACCTTGGTCTGGAGTGGGAATCTCCTTTGCTTGCTTGATTTTTAAACACTGACTTTATTGGGCTACAATTCACATATACAAGTCACCCATTTAAAGTCTTCAGTTTACTTACAGAGTTCTGCAGCCATCACCACAATTTTAGAATGTTTTCATAACCCCTGAATCGTCCTGGGCCCATTCGCAGTCACTCTCCATTTCTCCCCAACCGCCCCCCCCCAACTAGGTGACCACTAATCTGCTTCCTGGATTCAGGCTTCCTAAAGTCTCCACTTTGCCCTGTTTGGGTGCCAGGGCTGGCTGGAGCCGAGGCAGGGGACGCTAGGTCTTCTCCCCATGGAGTGTGGGCCCCAGTGGCCGAGCACACAGTGGGTCAGCTGCTCTGTGTGGCAAACCTGTCCCTTCCATGGTGGCCTCCCAGCCCTGCAGCCATGATCTGGGCTCAGGGAGGGGAGGCAGATAGCAGTATTTGGAGTGCAAAGTATGGGGCTGGGGGGAGGGGCTGGAAGGTGGCAGGAAGAGTGGAAAGGACGGGTGCCCCGCCAGGCCTGGCCCCAGCCTGGAGGGACAGTGAGGGCTGCAGCACCCCAGGCCACTGACTCAGGGCTGGGACTGATGGGAGTACATCCCAGCAGGCACCGGGGACCTTGGAGGACGTGGCTGTGTACCTGTCCAGAGAGGAGCAGGGATGCCTGGACCCAGCTCAGCAGCACCACAGCTGGGACGTGCTGCCGGAGAATGAGGGTATGCGCAGGGAGACCATGTTTGCTGGGGGTGTGTGGAAGCCCAGCCTGCAGAACCGGGGCTGCCAGCGGCCAGAGTTCCAGCTGCAGGGGCAGTGTGGCCACACACACCCACAATCCAGGCAGTTGCCCAGAGTTGCCTTGGGGTCCTGTTCTTCCACGCCCACTACCTGCGCACTGGTCCTGCTTCTGTCTGCCCTCGTCCCCTGCAGAGCTGCTCTGGCGAGGCCTGCCTGTGTGGCCTGTGCCAGGCGCCGCCCAGCTCTGTCCCTGTACCGGCTATCCTGCTCTTTGTCTGCCCGTTTGTTTCTTCTGCCACTCCCGATGCTGCTGAAACCTTTGCTAAAGGCATCGAGATGCTGCTTTTTATCAGCGACGGCTCTGCGGAGAAGCAGAGCTGGTAGGAGATGTGCGCGCACACACATGCACACACACAGCTTTATTTTGAGGGATTGGCCTTTTCAGTTGCAGAAGCTGATGAGTCTGGAATTTGCAGGGCGGGCCGGCAGGCCGGGTCCGAAGTCAAGGTTTCTGTTAGTCTCAGGGCAGAATTTCTCCTCCTCGAAACGTCTGTTGTCCTCCTAAGGCCTTTGACTTGTGGGATGAGGCCTCCTCACGGTGGTGGGTGACATGCTTGCCTCGGTCAGCTGGGTGTAGGTGTCGGACGCATCCAGAAGACACCGTCATAGCGGCATCTACTCTAGCGTTTGACCAAACAGCTGGCACTATGGCCTGGCCAAGTTGACTCATAAAATTAACCACCAAACACATCCCTTTACACCCCCGTATTTTTCTTGTTTTTTTCACCGTTCTATCGAATGGATGCCAGTGAACGCGTTTCTGCCACCATGTGAAGGCAATGCCAGTTTGCTGTGTTTGCGCTTGCTGGACCTCGGTCTGTGCCGTTGCTCCATATCTGTCGCCCAGAGTGTGGTGACTTGGCCGCTTCATCTCTGTTGTGATGGGGAAACTCCAGGCCCCCTCAGGACCCCCCTGCCAGGGACAGTGGGAGCCCAGGGCCATGTTTCCTTACTTTCTCTCGCTCGGAGGAAACTGGGTCTGCACAAGGCACCTCCCACTTCTCTCTCTCCAAGCAGCCCCTCTTCCTTAGTGTCTCTGGCCTGCTTTGCACTGATGCAGAAAGGCACGCTGAGACCCACGAGTTCTGACCCACCCATGCCTGCGTCCTCTTCTCTTGCCCCATGAGCAAGACTCCTCATGCCCAGACCCCGTGTAGTGGCCCAGCGGGTGAGGGCAAGGCTTGCGGGGCTCGTGCTGCCTCCAGGCCCAGAGAGGTCCTGGCAGGGCTGGCGCTGTGAGCAGGTCAGCAGGAAGGAAGCACAAGCCCCAGATTGGGTTCTCCTATCTCCAGGGAGTTTAGACCTTGGTGGTTGTGTTTGTGAAGTTCAAGTTCAAGGGCTTAGAGCAAGGATTGGCAGACATTTTCTGTAAAAGACCAGATAGTAAATATTTCAAGTTTAACGTGCCATGTGGTCTGTATTCCAATGACTTAGCCCTGCTGTTGTAGAGCAGAAGTAACCGTGGACTGTAGGAACATGGATGGGCACAGCTATGTTCCATTAAAACTCATTCCCAGAAAACAGGCATCAGCCAGCAGGCTGTAGTGTGCTGAGCCCTGGCCTAGAGGAGAGACAGGAGGAGCTAGAAGATCCTAAGAAAGGTTTGAGGCTCCAAAAGAAATGTGTTGACAGAGAAGGAGGGGTGTCGTATGAAATCCAGCTGAAGCTGAGTGTGGTGGCGCACGCCTGTGTCTCAGCTACTCAGGAGGCTGAGGTAGGAAGATCTCTTGAGCCCAGGAGTTCAGGGGCAGCCTGGGCAACACAGTGAGTCCCATCTCTTAAAAAATAATAATAGGCGGGCGCAGTGGCTCACGCCTGTAATCCTAGCTCCCTAGGAGGCTGAGGCGGGCGGATCGTTTTGAGTTCAGGAGTTGGAAACCAGCCTGAGCAAGAGCGAGACCCCATCTCTACTATAAATAGAAAGAAATTAATTGGCCAACTAAAAATATATAGAAAAAATTAGCCGGGCATGGTGGCGCATGCCTGTAGTCCCAGCTACTCGGGAGGCTGAGGCAGCAGGATCGCTTGAGCCCAGGAGTTGGAGGTTGCTGTGAGCTAGGCTGATGCCACGACACTCATTCTAGCCTGGGCAACAAAGTGAGACTGTCTCAAGAAAAAAATAATAATGATAATAATAATCCAGGTGGGAGAAATGAAGCTGGAAGGAGAAGGGAGGCAGGGAACCTGGGCTGAGCAGAGAACTGTGGAAGCTTGTCCAGGGCCGGAGGAAGGAGTCAAAACACCATATGCAAAATCGCTTCACACCAGCAAAGCAGGGCAGACTGCCTGACGCTCTGCCCCGCCCAGCAAGATCTCATTACCCACACACCTGCCCCGGCGCACCACGGGATGGAGGGAATGTCAGGTCCAATTTGGTGAGAAAGCTAGTTTTGGTTTGTATTAAGTCTTTTTAAAATTGTTAAATTTTTTTTTTTTTAGTTGTCTGTTTTTTTATTTTATAAGTGAGATATAAACATTTACAGTAACATCTCTATTCTTTCTTTGGGCTCTAATGTCTTATGTTGGGGAGACACTGAAGTTCAAGGATGATGATCACATTTCTTACCTGGTAATGAGAAAAACAACGATTTTCCCAGTCAGGTCAAATATCCTATTTCTTGCCTTTCTGCCCATTCCTAAACATTCACAGCTGTTTGAAAAGACTTTTAAAAAAAAAATGTTAAATTTTTTTATTGTGATAAGATACACAGGAAATTTACCATTTTAACTGTTTGTAAGTATACAATTTAATCTCATAAAGTACATTCACATTGTTGTATAACCACCACCTCCATCTTTTTCCAGAATTTTTCCATCTTCCCAAACTGAAACTTTGTACCCACTAAACACTAACTCCCCATTTCTCCTGCCCCAGCCTCTGGAACCCCCTATTCTTTTTGGCTCTGTGGATGTGGTGGCTCTAGGTACCTCATAGTGGTGGAATCATTCAGTGTTTGCCTTTTGTAGCTGGGTTATTTCACTTAGTGTGTGTCTTCCACCTTCATCCATGCTGTGGATGTGTCAGAATTTCTGTTCCCTTTTTTTCCTAGAAGCAGAGTCTCATTCTTGTCACCTAGACTAGGGTACAGTGATACAATCATAGCTCACTGCAGCCTGGAATTCCTGGGCTGCGATCCTCCTACCTCAGCCTCCCAGGTGCCTGGGAATACAGGTGCACATCAAGACGCCTGTAGTCTTTTTTAGAGTAGAGAAGAGGTCTCACCCCTGCTCAGGCTGGTCTTGAACTCCTGGAATCCTCCTGCTTCGGCCTCCCAGAGCCCTAAGATTACAGGTGCGAGCCATGGTGCCCGGCCCCCGTTTTTGAGTTGGATTGTTTTGTTGTCATTGAGTTCTAGGAGTTGTTTATGTAGTCTAGATATTAACTCTTTTTTTTTTTTGAGACAGAGTCTCTCTTTGTGGCTTAGGCTAGAACGAGTGCCATGGCGTCAGCCTAGCTCAAACTCCTGGGCTCAAGCAATCCTGCTGCCACAGCCTCCCGAGTAGCTGGGACTACAGGCATGCGCCACCATTCCCAGCTAATTTTTTCTATAGATTTTTAGTTGGCCAATTAATTTATTTCTATTTACAGTAGAGACGGGGTCTCGCTCTTGCTCAGGCTGGTTTTGAACTCCTGACCTTGAGCAATCCACCTGCCTTGGCCTCCCAGAGTGCTAGGATTATAGGCGTGAGCCACCATGCTGGCCGTAGATATTAACTCTTTAAGACAAGATTTGCAAATATTTTCTTCCATTGTGTTGGTTGCCTTTTCACTCTTTATAGTGTCCTTTGATGCACAAAAGCCTTAATTCTGATGTAGGCTAGTTTATCTGTGTATTTCTTTTGTTGCCTGTGAAAAGGTAGTTTCAGGTGAGGTTGTGTGAAGTTTGGGTTGGTCACTGGCGATGTGCAGCCAGACGAGCAGGTCTCCGCAGGGGCAGGCTTGCCCCAGAGGACATTGGTCTGTGAGTGGAGATGGTTTTGGTTGTCAGGACAGTTGTTACTGACATCCAGGTGTGGCGCACGAGGCAGCCAAACATCCTACGTGCACAGCCCCCACCACAGAGACCCAGCGCGGGCTAGGCCCTGTCATTTGTACCAGGGGAAACCTGGTCTGGAGGTTTCTGAGGAAGGTGCTGTGTGTGGGCTGACTCATTCCTGGAGCAAAAGGGTCTGCAGGAGGCAGAAAGGGAAGAGGCAGAAAATTCGCAGCCTCGTGTGTCCACACGGCTCCTCGGGAGGACGGAGGAAAGGACGTGGCTCTGCCCAGCGCTGCCGCCGGCCCCGGAGCCCAGACCTGACTGCCCTCCCGGGCACAGTCGAGTAGTTGGGCTTTCCTCACCATGTGCCACACGACGTGGTTTATGTTCAGTCCTTTTTGGGGGGCTGGGTGGAGGGGTGCCAACAAAAGTTTGATTTATTTGATCTTATTTTTAAACAAACTAGATTGGCACCCCTGGCTGCAGAGTTTTTTAACTTTTAGTTTTTTAATGAAGTGAAATTCACATAACATAAAATTTGCCATTTTTCCATGGACAGTGCAGTGGCGTTTAATACATTGCCATTGTCGTACAGTCTTCGTCTCTGTCTAGTTGGAAACATACTTCATTACACCAAAAGGAAGCCCTCTACCTGTTAGCAGTTTCCCCACTTCCCCTTGTCCCAGCCCCAGGCAACCCCAGTCTGCTTCCTGTGCCTGTGGATTTGCCTGTCCTGGACATTTCATATCAGTGGAATCTGCAATATCTGTCCTTTTGTGACTGGCTTCTCTAACTCAGCATGTGTTCATGGTTCACCTGTGCGGTGGCATAAATCAGTGCTTCCTCCCTTTTTATGCCCAGATAGTGTCCCATCCTGTGGACAGACCGTACTTTGTTTATCCATTCTGTTGGTGGACATGGGGTCGTTTCTACTTTTTGGCTATTGTGAATAGTGCTGCTGTGAGCATTCTTTTTTTTTTTTAAAGAGAAGACAAAATTTTATTATTTGCAGATGATGTGATTTTATATCTAGGCTGCTAAGAGAGAATCAAGTGAAATAAACCCCCAACTATTGGATTTTTTTCCTTTTTTAAAAAAATTATTATTTTTTAAAATTTATTTTTATTTTAGCATATTATGGGGGTACAAGTGTTAAGGTTACTTTGCTGTGAGCATTCATGTGTGAGTTTTTGAGGACATGTTTTCAGTTCTCTTGGGTACGTACATAGGAGTGGAAGTGCTGGGTCACATGATGACTCTGTGTCTAACTTTTTGAGGAACTGCCAGACTCAGTTCTTTTCATAAAGTTCTTACAACACGCCAGTGAGGTGGTTCCATTCCCCATCTCAATTTTATAGAAGTGGCCGGGCACGGTGGCTCATGCCTGTAATCTTAGCACTCTGGCCGAGGCGGGAGGATCGCCTGAGCCCAGGAGTTTGAGGTTGCTGTGAGCTATGATGATGCCACTGCACTCCAGCCACAGAGTGAGACACTGTCTCAAATTGAGGCTTAGTCAGCGCCAGGCCCACACTTGGCTTTCTGGAAGTCTGGGTGGGTAAGAAGGGCCTGCCCGGGAGGTCTGGGCTGGCCCGTGCCTAAAGTGGACTTTCCAAGGGTGACAGAAGCTTCTGCCTCTCCGCTGCTGTGGGCACAGAGCTCCTCTCAGGACTGCTTGGAGGACGTCCCCGGCCCTGGGCACCCCAGTGTGCTTTGTGCCAGGAGGGCCCAGGTAGGATTAGCCTCATGCTGCGGATGAGAGGCAAGGAAGTCGTGTCGTTGCCCCCAGTCACACAGCCTGGAAAGGGCCCGTTGGACCAGTCCAGCATCCTGTCTCTGTGCTCCTGTCACAACTGTGGATCCTGAACCTGGATCTGCACAGGGGTCTCCGACTGAGTTTACAGCAAGCGAGGCTGGGGAGCTGGGACCTTGTGGTCCTGCTGCAGCCAGGGCAGCCTGGAGCAGGGCTGTGCGTCTGAGCGCTGCGGGCATCTGCGCACTGTGGGATGTTCTCAGCGTCCCCAGGCTCCTTCCACTAGAGGCTGGGTACAGCCCCTCTCTAGTCATGACAAAAGTGTTGCTAGACATTGCCCCCCCCCCCAGGACCCCACGCTTAGAGGTTACAGCCCAGACTCTAACTTACCAGCCCAGTGACTCTGGGTAAGTTCCTTAATCTCCTGTGCCTCAGTTCCCTCACCTGGAGATGGGGACAGTAACAGCACTGACCCATTGCGAAGATGGTATGAATCCCCGTAAGGTTAGAACAGCGTGTGGCCATGGTTTTAGTATCTTGTGTCAGGGCTCTGTCTAACACTTCCCTGCTAAATGTTTTGAAGGGGAATTTGAAGAGCTCTGCCTGGCCTTTATCCTCCTTTTTAAAAAAAATTTTTTTTAAAGACAAGATCTTGCTCTGTCACCCAGGCTGGAGTGCGTAGGTGCAATTACAGCTCACTGCAGCCTTGAACTCCGGGTTTAAAAGATCCTTCTGCCTCAGCCTCCCACGGAGCTGGGACTACAGGTGTACACTGCCATGCCCAGCTAGTTTTTCTATTTTTTGTAGAGACGAGGTGTTCCTATGTTTCCCAGGCTGGCCTCCAACTCCTGGGCTCAAGCAATCCTCCCGCCTTGGCCTCCCAGGGTGCTGGAATTACAGCTGTGAGCCCCCATGGCCAGGCTCACCTACTTTTTATTAGAAGCGTCTCCCTTTCCTTAGGGACTGTGCCTTCTCTGTCTCAGGACTTGAGATCCAGTCGGAGGATGGTGACACCACCAGGGAGGACATGCCTGTGAGAATGGAATGGTACCGAGTGCTGTCGACACGGTGCCAGGGCCCTGGCCTCGCGCTCCCGGGGCAGGGGCCTGCCGAAGTCAAGGGCGTGGCCAGGCCAGCACAGCCGCCAGGCTGCCCCCCACCAGGGAAAGGGGGGCCACGTGGGCCTGACAAGCCATACACGTGCCCTGAATGCGGCAAAGGCTTCAGCAAAACGTCCCACCTGACCAAGCACCAGCGCACGCACACCGGGGAGCGGCCCTACAAGTGTGCGGTCTGTGGGAAGGGCTTCAGCGACCGCTCCAACTTCAGCACGCACCAGAGGGTCCACACAGGCGAGAAGCCCTACCCGTGCCCCGAGTGCGGGAAGCGCTTCAGCCAGAGCTCCAGCCTGGTCATCCACCGCAGGACGCACACGGGCGAGCGGCCCTACGCGTGCGCGCAGTGCGGGAAGCGCTTCAACAACAGCTCCCACTTCAGCGCGCACCGCAGGACGCACACGGGCGAGAAGCCCTACATGTGCCCGGCCTGCGGCAGGGGCTTCCGCCGGGGCACCGACCTCCACAAGCACCAGCGGACCCACGCGGGGGAGTGTGTCCCCCCTCAGCCCCAGGAGGCCCCAGGGCCAGAGCCTGGCCACCACGCACACAGCTCTGCTCCCAGGACCCTTGTCAGAAGTTCCCACTCACAGAATTCCTGAGGCTGCCAGAGTCGCTTCTGTCCCGGAGCCAGCAGCCCTGATCTGAAGGCATCTGGCGTGGTCTGGGCCAGTGTGGGTGGGGCCGCAGGACGTGTTGGATGCCCAGGCTGAGGGAGGAAGTGGGGCGCAGAGCAGGGGCACGGGCGGGGGTGTACGTCTGTCCTGGGGTGGCCAGACATGCAGCACAGTTGGAGGCTCGGTGAAGGGACGCACGCTCATGGCAGGAGGCCACGCTGCAGGTGTCGGTGGGGCTGCTCCTGGGGCCTCCCCAGCTCTGCCGTCTGTTGGGGGAAAGCGGGCCCAGTCTGGAGTCACCTCGGCAGAGTCACAGCTGCTCGGAAGGTGATGCCAGAGTGAATGCCTCCCTAAACCCCATCTTCCTGTCCTCCCGCCTCAGGGAGGAAGCCCAGAGATTCGACTGGGCCTGACAGCTCTCCCCAGGGCGGGGCCCCGGGCTGCACCTGTTCCTGCCCTCCATGGTTATTTTCCACCGTGGCCCTCCTTGGTGGCCCCCTTTGTCTCTCTAAGGTAAGAATTCCCCACCTTCCAGCTCTTGTCTGGCCTGCGAGCCTCTCAGACCTAGATGCCCAGGTCTGAGTGAGTGGCTGTGGGGAGCAATATGATGGAGTCTTTGGTGGGTTTAGTCATCATGAAAGTCATGGCACAGGTGCTGAAACCTCTGGGTTCCAGAATTTTCCAACCAGGCAGTGTCATTGCTGCTTATGGCTGGGTGGCCTGGGCCCTCATCCCAGCCTGTGATGCTCCATCCCATATTGTTGCCCATTTGCTGTACATATTTTCACCTTTCAGCATAACCCAGGTTCAAGGGTATGAGACCTGTTCTTTCTCCGTTCCCTTAATAAATGACATCAGTTTTTCTCCTGGCCCCTGTGTGCTCTGTCCTGTGTTTCTGCCGAATGGGGCTGCTGGTTTAGGGACGGCTTTTGCCATCTGGGCCAGCTCTGGAAGCCCTCCTGAGCCCCCAGTCGCATTTCTCTCTAGCCAGGCCAGTGCTAGAGGCGGCTGCCCCCTCCCTGGTCAGGGAGTGTTCCCGCCCTCAGCTGTGCCACACCTTGCGGGCTTCTCTGCGGAGCCCTCTACGTGCTTACCCACCTTGCCAGGGCCCCCCCACTGCCTCCCGCTGGCTCAGTGGGCCCTGCCTGCTGCCCCTCAACCTGCCTTGAGGCCACCAGGTCGGTGCGTGTGCTGTGCAGGTGGGGCAGGGAAGTGAGGCACTGTGAGCATTAAAATCCTGTCCTCGGGCAGAGCCAGCTTTGGACCCAAGTCTGAACTCCCACTGCCCTCTCCTACCCCTGACTTGCTTTGACAGAGGCAGTAATTCACAAACAGAAGTGAACTTTGTTTTTTGTTGCTGTTTTTTTGAGAAAGGGTCTTTGCCGTCTGGGGTGGAGTGCAGTGGCTCGATCATAGCTCACTGCAGCCTCAGTCTTGGGCTCAAGCGATCCTCCTGCCTCAGGCTCCAGAGTTTCTGGGAATATAGATGCATACCACCATGCCTAATTTTTTTTTATTTTTTGAAGAGACAGGATCTCACTATGTTGACCATAGTGAGAGCTTCTGGCCTCCGTTGAGCTACCACATCTGGCTGAATTATATCTAAGGTAAGAAAAACCACCTTTTGACTGTCCTGTGAGACGTAAGAGCCTCTCTGATCTGCTCATCCATAGAGTTTATTTTTTCTCACTGTAAAACTAAGTGAACTGACTGGCGTCAAAAAGGGTGGAGATGGGAGAAAATGTGGTTAAAGAAAAAAACCAGCCTTTGCTATCGATAGCTGGACACTGCATTGGAGGCGTCAGACTGCCATGTGTCTCAGCAGGCCGCACTGCCCAGAGTCAGCCCGGGCCCAGGCCTTGCCGGTGAGGCCTCTCCAGACCTCCTGTGGCCTTCGTGGAAGCCTGCCTTGCCTTTGGCTTCTAATGAAAATGCCCCTTATTGTTGGAAATGGGGCCTGGTGGGGGGTCTCCAGTGGCCAGATCAGGTGGGGTCTGGAGAGCAGAAGTCTGTGTCCCTGATCTTAGCTGCCTGTGGCTGAGGCCGGGCAGGGCCGATACAAAGAGACCTTTGCCCATGCTCAGCGGCGTGGCAGCTGGCAGTGATCCCTGAGCTGAGCGCTGGAAGTCTTGCCCAAATGCCAAGGACCCAAGCTGAGATGGTTTCTCTGCACATTGCATGGAGCAGGGGGAGGAAGCATCCTCGAGACAGGCTGTGGGAGAACAAAGGTGCCCAGATCAGGGCTGATGTCAGCAGTTACAAAAGGATGCAAAGACGGGGGCTGGGGGGTCATACTTGCAGAGTGACAGGATGGAGCGGAGACCAGGTGCATCCTGTGGGGGCCAGGCCTTGGCAGGGGCCCGGCCAGCCCCCAGCTCCTGCTTGTTACGACAGGTGTGGCCACTGCTCCATTCCACACTGGACAGTTTGCAGGTGTTGGGACATCCAGTATGTGGTCTGGGTTCGTAAAGGTCAACACCACTGTGGCTTGGAAGGCCCCTAGAACCTGCATGTGCCTTTCTCTTGGGTAATGAAAAGAAAGAGAAAGCAAATTCCAGTTGTTCCCCTTTTTCAAAAAGTCCATTAGGTCTGTATGCGCATGTGTGTGTGGTGCGTTTAATTTACTGCACAAAATAGCAGATATCCAGGGACTCAGAAAATCAGGCTTAAGTCTTTTTCAACCCTGAAATTCTCTAAATATGTTTTATTTTTAAAAAGACCTCATATGATGGAAATAATAGATGCTCTTAAAGAGAAAACATGCAGAAATGGCCAAAGGTGAGAAGCCTGCGGCCCCAAGAGAAGCACTGCTGTCCCTCTGGTCGCACTGAGGTCAGGCCACCGTGTCTCCTGGTGGTGGTGTCCTGCTTTATGTGCAAATCTGCATTTGGATCCTTGCTTGTAAGTGCGAGGCTGAGTTCTGCCAGGGGCTGGGAGTGGCCCACAGTCTGAGGGGCCCTGTCTCTCAATGGCACCGGCCAGTGGACGCAATGGAGACCCAGGGGACCGCCAGGGTCCAGCTTGGATGAAGAGCCAGACCGCTGCAGCTGCTCGCTGAGGCATCTACGGTCTGCCCAGAGGAGGTACCAGGGCCTCCCCGGCTGCTCCTTGCCCGAGAGCATCCGCTAGGGCCTGGGGGCTTCCTCCTGGGAGCCTGGCCTGGCCACTGTGCCCCTCAGCCCAGAGCTTTACGCGCTGCTTCCTCCCGGTTCCTGTTCCAGCCGAGTCTGCCTGGGCCTGAGCCCTCTGGCTGCTGGGGCCCTCGCTGGTGGGCAGTTGGGTCTGGGCCGCCCCCTTCTGAAAGGCCCTCAGCTGCTGAAGCAGCTGACTCTTGCCAGTGCAGCTCCTGTGACACAATAAAACCACACTCAGCCAGAGCCTCAGCTACTGAAACTGAAGAAAGAGGACGTGATTCAGGCAACTGCCAGGTCCGGTGAGAGGCCAATGTGACGACTGACACCTGCAGCTTCCCCTGCTGTGTGTGTGTGGGGGGGGGGTGAGCAAGACCCCACCACACAGGGTCAGAGCTCTCAGCAAGAGTGACTCCAGGGTCCCCCGAGGCTCCTACCCAACAGGAAAGGCAACTCTAACAACATCAGCACCCACCCTTTCTGAGTTCCTTCTCTGAGTTCAGGTTTCAGTTGGTTAAACCCAACTGATGGATAATTCTAGAAAGAAATGAGGCCCAGCGACATTCTTATCACAAGCGCTCTCCAGTGGAGTTGCACTAATTTCCTAGTCAGCATGGGAGGGAAAATTCTAGTCATCTCAAAGCCCAGACCAGTGAAATAGCTGTCACTTCCTGGAGACTCTCTGTACCCAACTTGAATCCTCTGAGGTAGGTACTAAAACTGTCCCCCATTTCCAGATGAAGATGTAGAGCCTTGGCGAGAGTGAGTGATGTGCTGAAGTTCCCTGGGTAGCAAGAGGAGCAGCCTGGATTTGAGCCCAGGGTGTGTGACTGCAGAGCCGGGGGTCACATCGCAGGTGCTCAACTGGCCTGGCCTGGACAGACGTCCTGGTGCCCGGTGTCAAGGAACCAGGAGAGGGAGCTTGCCTAGCTAACACTAACCTCAACTCCACAGCCTTGAGAAAGGCACAGCCTAGCCAAGGGGCATTCCTAAGAGAAGGAAAAGGTCACAAGATGGCCGGACATGGAGAGGAAGGCTAGGGTGCCTCCAGGAGCGGGTGCCCAGGCCCTCGTGACGCTCAGGAAGAGGCGGCAGCCTCCAGCCCTCCCAGAAGCTCTGCACTTGCGCGTCAGCGACCCTTCGCCCCGCTTCTCTGCCATAGGGCCTCATCACATGCCACAGGGAGGGCGAGCTGCATGAGACCCTGCATCCCCAAGTGTAGTTCTGTACTTGCTGACGCTGCCACCGCGCATGACCCACTCGCCCGTGACCACAGCGTAGGGCCTCCCTCACGGCTTGTGCCTGGGCTACCTCCGCATTTGACATTTCCCTCTCATGCACCCAAGCAGTTTGTTTCTGGCTAGCAACCATCACCTACCTCACTCTACCCCTATGCTTTCTCCTCCCTTCTACTGCCATCAGTAGCAGGGAGAAAAATCAATTTGAAGAACTAACTTTCAGAAAGAAAATGTACTGAGCCCTCCTCGAGCGTGAGCTAGCGTGTCCTTGGTGTCCAGGACACAGCCAGCCAGGCTGAGAGGAGGGTGCTGGGCCCAGATTGGCTCCCATGGGCTACCTTCCCCCACTTCCTAGGACACCCCCCCCAAGTATGGGCCCTCAGGGTGCATGACAGAGATCAAAGCCAGTTGTTAAATGTGCGGTCAGGGCTTGCTGAGGAGAGCAGTGTTGGGACACCCTGAGGGGCTCCCCTTCGTGGTTACCGTGGGTCCTGGGAGAAAGGAGCTGCCTGCTCTGCTGGGCCACTCTGGTCTCCCAAAGCTGCTAGCGCCTCCTCCTCCTCCTCCTCACTGTCTGAGGAGCTGGAGCTGGAGCTAGGGAGGAGAGGAAATGGGTTGCTGATGTGCCCTAGTGCCCTGGCCAGGCCTGACTCCCCCCAAGGACCTGGAGTGCTTGGATCTCCCTGGTGACCTGAGGCAGGAGGGTGGCCTCCAGCCAAAGCGCAGTGGCAGAAACCAAAGGGCCCTGGACTTCCTGCCAAGTGGTGAGGGAGGGTGAAGGGCGATATGCTCCAGCCTAGACAAAGTTTGCATAGAGCTCAGTCTGAGGAAGTTTGTCCTCTGTCCTTCTTCCCTCCCTGCAGGGGACCAAGTGGGACTGTTGGCTAGGCCCAGTTCTGGGATAAACGCACTTCTCAACTGAGCATTGTTCCAAGCCTTTCAAAGTCCCTGTTTCTCCCCAGTAGGAACTGCCTAGGCCTCATGAGCCACTGTGCAACTTTGCAAAGGGGTAAATCTGCTGGAGGGTTTGTCACTGCTTGTACCTCTCCAGGAAATGGTGGGCTGGTGGCTCCTTCTGCCGCAGATCAATGAAGATGGTGGGAGGCTCCATACGGTGCCTCATTCCCTCGGCCAGCTTCCAGCCCCATTCAGCCTGGGAGCCCAGCTTCCTTGAAGCACATCTGAGATGAGAAGAGCAGGGGCTTGTCAAGTCACTTTTCTGTGGTTTCTTTGTGACCTATGCTGGGCTTGTCCACTCAGAGTGCCTGTGGCTGCCACCCGGTGAGTGCCCACTGTGTGTCGGAAGACACTCATACAGGGTTTGCGCTTTTATTCATTAGAACAGCCCTCAAGATTTAGGCCAGCACTGTCCAACAGAATTTTTTGTGATGATTGAAAAGCTCTTTATCTGTGCTGTCCAGTATGGTTACCACCTACCACAGGTGGCTATTTAAATTTACATTTAAGCTAATTAAATCGATAAAGTAAATTTAGTTCCTCAGTCACACTAGCCATATTTTAATTGTTCAGTGGCCACATGTGGCTAATGACTACTGTACTGAACAGTGCAGGTCCAGCCATTTCTATCAGGAGCTTTTGGTTGCCAGGCACAAAACCCACTGCAACTAGCTCAGATGAAAAAGGGAATTCATTGGCTCTCAGATTCCTAAAAAGGGTGGAACAACCAAAGTGTGTTGGGAGCATGGGTCCCTATATCCATCTCTGCCTCCCCAGCTTGCCTTTCTCCATGATGGCAGGACGGGTGGCTGTCAATGACCCTTCCTCCCCTACACAGACAGAGATTGGAAAATCCCTGGGAAAGGCTCTGATTGGCCTGGCTGGGGTCACATGCCCAGGGCTGTACCAATCAACTGTGGCCAGAGGGGCAAGGTCATGTGACAACCTTCCTATACTCCCAGGGAGGCCATGAGGATAGTGAAGGGAGGGTTCCCACAGGGTTTGGGGAGAGAGCGGGTACTTTGGGGCTCAAGTCCCAGCTCTGCCATTTATGGCCAGGAAGAGTGAACCTCTCTGTTTTCCTATCTCTAAAATGGTCTTAATAGAAGTAACTGCCTGGTCAGATTCTTGAGATTAAATGAAAAGATGCACATCAAGAGTCCCACCCACAGTAAGCCCAATCAATGCCACATGATCATGAGCCAGTTCTAAAGAGACGGAAGGGGCCGTGACTGCAAGAAATCCCACCTGCTTCCAGCCTGCTGCTCCTTGGTGTCCTGGGGTGTGTCAGCAGGCAAGTTCCGGGAAGGGGCAGGGGCTCTGGGCTGCGTGGCACACAGGAGGGCCAGCTGTTCCATGAGCCTATCCTGGGTGTTCGGCACAGTGTGGTCTGAGGACAGCCAAAGAAGAGAAGGCTGCTCAGTGGGGACTTGGCCCGAGTTTGGCTTATGGCAGCTTGAGCCATGTGTACCGTTGCTCCCAGCCCAACTCTCACTGCCCAGCACTCGCTGAGGACTCAGCAGGGACTGTGGCATGGGAACCTCGTGAAGCGGAAATGAGTTACTATTGAAAGTCTGTCCCACTTCCTCACTCCCCAGTCCCACTTGTCAGAGTAACCATAAGTAACAGTTCTGGGTGCTTTGTTTTAAATACCAATGGGATCATCCTCTATAGATTTTTTCAACTTAAATTTTTTCATTTTATATATTATGTCTTTCCCCGTTAACATAGATCCCTCACTGAGCTACAGAGCATTCTGCAGTAGAACTGATTTAGCTGAATTTGTATTGAACGTAGGCTGTTTCCAATTTTTCACAATTTTAAACAACATTGCAATGAACATCCTTGAAGACACGTTTACCCACTAGGCTGAGTGTGTAGTATGGATTGTCAAAATGGAATAGCTGGATCACAGGGTTACGTAGGGTGTATCAGTTACCTACACACAAGCACACATCCCCTACAGGGGAGTCAGTTTCTCCACATCCTGCCATAAGGGGTGTGAATTGTAAACAAACTAAACTATGTTTAAAGCAGTGCAGGGCTGTCAGTCACGGCTGAGCCTTTGCTCTGGGATCAGAGGGGGAAACCCCGGACCTGTCCTTGTTCCTGGGCCTCAGGCCTGCCTCCACTCACCTTTGTAGGCCTGACTGAGGGGTGAGGGGGTGGGGAGCAAAGGCACAAGTGTGGTGACAGTGGTGACATCTTTAGCCTTCCTTTTTAAATGGGGTGTCAAGTGGAAGCAGGCGTGTGCCTAGGAGCTGACTGAAGGTACACAAAAGGCAGGACTGACTTCCCCCCAGGAAGAAAGAGGAAGGGGAGGAGGAAGTGTAGGTCACAGGGCAGGGACCAGGTTTAAAGGCCCCTCTGTGTCCCCTGGACCTGGCCCATGCCTGGCGAATAGCAGGCAGTCACATATGTGTTGAGTGAACGAGTGAATGAATGAAGTCTTTCAAGGACTGGCAACATGAGTGTATGCGACAGAGAGGGGCTGAGCAAGCAGAGAGGACACGTGCGGCTTCAGGGCAGACCGTGACCACAGGCCCCTGTTACTGAGAGGCCCAAGAAGGAGCTGCCTGTGGGGGTTCGCTTGGGCTCTGGCCTTCAAGGTCAGACCTTGTGGGATGCCAAGGCGGGCGGATTGCTCGAGGTCAGGAGTTCGAAACCAGCCTGAGCAAGAGCGAGACCCCGTCTTACTATAAATAGAAAGAAATAAATTGGCTAACTAATATATATAGAAAAAATTAGCCAGGCATGGTGGTGCATGCCTATAGTCCCAGCTATTTGGGAGGCTGAGGCAGCAGGATCGCTTGAGCCCAGCAGTTTGAGGTTGCTGTGAGCTAGGCTGATGCCATGGCACTCACTCTAGCCTGGGCAATAAAGCGAGACTCTGTCTCAAAAAAAAAAAAAAAAAAAGGTCAGACCTTGGACTTGGCAGTGGTCAGCTGCCCAACACTCGGTTCCAGGTGCATGATTTTCCTGGTTGTCTTCTTGTCCCGCCAGACTCTGAAGGATGTAATCCAAATCCCATTCTTCAAGTTGCTGAAATAATTAAACCAGAGGTTATGGGGCTGCTGCAGGCATGAGTGTCTGCCTCTCAGCTGCTGTGACTGGTGGAGAATGTCATGGGATGTGGTGGGGTAGGAACCAGGGCTTAGAGGCATTTGCAAATGGGCTCATCCACCCTTGCCGTTACAGACTGAACGTCTCCACTAAGGTGGGGCCTGCATTTCTTGTCACCTCCTCCCTATGCTTTTTTTGGGTCAATACTTTTGATTTTGGAACAAAGATGTTGTTTGACCTGGAAGAAAGAAACCCTGTGTCGTTTTAAAACTATTTAGGTTCATACAAGCTCAGAATACTTGGAGGTTAAAAAGCTGTGCTCTTTTAAGAAACAGGTTGTTCTAGGCGGATGCTAAAACTGGAGGACTTGGCAGCGAGTGCTCTGGGGGCACAGTGGGTGTGATAAGGAGGAGGGGGGATGTGAGTCAAGGACTCATGTTTATTATATATGACCTTTCAACTTCTGAGGAAAAATAAAAGCTTTTAGGGGTGAGCAGAGAAAGGAAAGAATGGTTTATTTAAGCAGTAAGGAAAATGACTTCTGTGTATACCTTGGTGGCAGATTTCTCTAAGTTGTTAAGAAAAATTATCCAAAATTTGTAAATAAGGCAGAAGGAGAATTTCATGGCCTTTTTCAGCATCGTGCCTGGAGCGTTTTCTACAGTGCCCACCTTTTCTGGGGCAAAGTAACTTGGTTTGTGTAATTGACCAGGGCCCGCCTGTTTTCCAACTTTTTAAAACTGAGACTGTGTGATGGTTTCATTTTCTGTCCCACAGACAAGATGACCCCAAAGATAACAGTTTTGTTGCCCTATAGGACACTGACCTGTTTTACACATAATGTAGCAATTTTATCTCTGATATCTTCCTTTCCCCAGTATTTTACACAATTCCAGTTTCTCATAATCTTATTAAACCAGTTCTTTATCCTGCTGGTTCCCTTGTTAACGTCCTAAATCCCCCCATAACAGGAGCTCACTAGTTTATGAGAATGAGGCTTTAATGCTGAGAACTAAGCTTTACAGAGTCTGGTCCTGTGTCTATGTACGGCTGTGTGTGTTTGTATCTGCAGTGCAGCACTGACTGGGATTAGTATTCTTTTTCTGTCTTCTTAAAGAAGGCTGTGTTCTGCTGTTCTTCCAGGGTCTTGTTACCTCTCCCCAAGGATGTGCTCTCTACTGGGACCCCCTCCCACTGAGACAGGTACACCCATCTGTGGACCTGGACCCTGCACCTAAGGTCCCCTCGAGCCAGCTGGTTTAGCCCAGGGCACTGGGAGGTGGCTGCGAGGCAGGGTGCAGGCCTCAGGAGGAGCAGGGTGATGGGCGCCGCCTACCTGGAGCGACAGCACCGGTGGTCCCGCACGGGGCTCCTCTGGAGGCTTCCCCGGGCTGGGGGCCGACTGTGCGGTGTGGCAGGGCAGCTCCTTCATCCCACTGTGGCCACTGCCGGCGGGGTCCTGGGCACCCCACGGCACTCTGTGGAGTATGTCCTTCTCTATCAACTTCCTTCTCTCCCGGCGGAGGGCCCTGCGGTCTACAGCACCTTGTGAGGTGGCACTTGTGGACTCTGCCTTCAGGTCTCCTTGCTGCAGGGAGAGGGTGGCTTCTCCCTGCGGGCCCCAGGGAGGACTCTGGGATCCCCTGATGTTGAAGGACATGTTTCCAAGGTTGCCTTCCAGCCACTTGGGGGTCTCCTCGGCCATCCTGAGAAGAGAGCCAATCTCACCACTGCTCTCAAAAGGCCCAAGGCCCCTTCCTTCCCGAGAGGCTGGATCCTTGGTCCTTGCATCCCATCCGCTCCCAAGTTCTGCGGCAAATTCCACAGGCACCAGAGCTGGCTATCGAGAAAACAGGCGTCCTCAGTTAGCAGCCTAAAAACATACTTCAGGGAATTTTACTTCATAGTACAATTGGCATATAACATAAAATTTTCCATTTTAATTAATTAATTAATTTTTTTAGATAGCGGCTCCCTCTGTTGTGGGGCTGGAGTGCAGTGGCATCATCATAGCTCACGGCAGCCTGCAACTCCTGGGCTCACGTGATCCTCCTGCCTCAGCCTCCTGAGTAGCTGGACCTACAGGCTCGTGCCAGAATGCCTGGCTAAGGTTTTCTTATTTTTTATTCTTTGTACAGATGGGTTCTTCCTATTGCCCACGCTGGTCTCAAACTCCAGGGCTCAAGCAATACTCCTGTCATGGCCTCCCAAAGTGCTAGGATTATATGTGTGAGCTACATTTTAACCATTTTTATTTTTATTTTTATTTTTTTTTCCGTTTAGCTTAACCATTTTTAAATGTTCAGTTCAGGTGAGGGGATTCAAGCCTGTAACCCTGGTACTTTAGGAGGCTGAGGTGGGAGGATCACTTGAGCTCAGGAGTTCAAGACCAGCCTGGGTACCATAGCAAGATACCATCTCTAAAACAAAAAATTAGAAGTGGTGGTGTGCACCTGTAGTCCCAGCTACTTGGGAGGCTGAGGTGGGAGGATCATCTCTTGAGCCCAGGAGTTCAAGATTGCATTGAGCTATGATGGCACCACTCACTACATTCCACCCTGGATGACAAAGCAAGACCCTGTCTCTAAAAAAAGAAAAAGCGTACACTTCAGTGGCATCTGTAACATTCAAAATGTTGTGAAATCATCACCATCTATTTCCAAAAATTATTTCCTTGCCACAGCGAAAACTCTGTACTCATCAGCAGTCACTCCTCATTCCTCTTCTCCCAGTACCTGGTAACCTTTCATCTGCTTGCTGTCTCTGGATTTGCCTATTCCAGGTATTTCATAAGTGGAGTCATATATTTGTCCTTTTGTGATTGGCTTCTTTCACTCAGCATGTTTTCTAGGTTTATCTAATTTTGCAGCACAAATCAATTCTTTGTTCCTTTTTAGAGCTGAATAATATTCCCTTGCATGGATAGACCATGTTTTCCTTACCCATTTATCAGTTGAGGAACAGTTGGGTTGTTTCTACTTTTTGACATTATAAATGGTACTGCTACAAAACATCAGCATACAAGAATTTTTTTCATCTTTTTTCCTTTAGGGAATTTAATTTTGTTTCTCTTAATGCTTTATAATTCTTGGGTGTTACAAGGACAGTGGGGCTGGGAGAGTGTCCTGCCTTTTGACCGCAGGCAGCTGTGTGCATATGCTGTAGAAGCAGGCTGTGACTGTTTCTGAAGCTCTTAAAGCTTGCCTGAAGCAGCTGCAGAGGCAGTGCAGGACAGGGGCATCCGGAGGGGGAGGCCTGGCCCCCATTTTGGAAGTGGGTTAGAGCCTCCAGTGTTTTCACTGGAAACAGGACATTTAACTACAACCACATCAAGAAGAGCTGGACTGGTCTAACCAGTTGGGGCCTGCCGATGAGAGCTGATGGATGGGTTCTATTTATAAAGGCAGCAGTTAATTTTAAGGATCAAGCCATTAACTTTAGGTAGAGTTCTTGGTCTTACCTGGGAAATGGGGAGACAAGGAGATGGAAAATTCAGTCTGACTTTTGGCAGTTACTCCCAGTGCAGCCCTAACTGAAGAGTGTGCTGTTTCCTTTTCTAATTGTTGCCTGAGTTTCCCCCCTCCTGTCCTCCCTGCAGGGTGCCAGCTCTCCCTTTGCTCAGGCCTTTATGGAAAGGAGCTCCTTCTTCCCTCTGACCCTCCACTGCAGCCTTCAGTGATTCAGCAGTGTTTAGGGAGCTGCTGTTTACTTGCCAGGTGCCCAGGATACCAGTGAGGAGCCAGGCCACCTGGGAGCCAGCTGGGTCAAGAGACAGACATTTGTGACAAGCACTTGTGACCTTGACCAGAGCTATTCAGGGTGCCATGATAGAAAATAGGACAGGAGAGATAAGAGGAAGAGCAGGGGCAGAATCAGACAGAAAATCCAGTCCTCACTGGCCCTGCATGTGCTGGGCTCCCTGGGAGAGGGAGGTGTATGGCAGCTAGATGTTGGGCACCCAAATGCCTTGGGTTGTGCTTGGAGAAAGGAGGACTGAGTGTCACAGAAATGCCAGACCAGTGGTTTGAACCATTTTAGAACCACTGTGCTGTTTAGTGTTTACTGAGACATTGACATACATACACACTCTCTTCTGTGTGCCACAGACCTCAGGAGGGGACCCTACAGCTGCAGTGACCCAGGTCCTGGACTCATCGCCCTCAGCAGGGTCTTCAGCCAGCTCCTCCGACAGGTCTGGGATCAGGGCGGTTTGGTTTCGCTGGAAGATGAACAGCTCCTCTTCCCCGCAGTCGGACTGTGGACAAAGGAGAGGGCTCCGGGTTACATGGCAGCAGGCAGAGCCTGAAGGGCCCTGGTGTCCCCTCCCCCCACTTCTGGCCCAGCCTGCCCAGCCCTGTAGCTCAGGAGCATCTGGAGAGAGCCACACAGAGCCTTGCCATTCACCGCTTTCTGTCACTGATTTAGAAACGGACTCGGCAGCACCACCTCGTGGAGGTGTGTTCAGAGCTCCTTGTTCTGAAGTACTTGCCACATCTAAGGCCTCAAATACAGCAGGTGCTCCTTTAATGCCTGGCATGGCACAAACAGGGCAGTGAAGCGGTAGCTGAAAGAGCAGAGTCCAGCCCTCCCCTCCCCCATGATTCAAGCTGTCACTTAATAACACAGATCCTGGGCCTGCCTCTCTAAATGGGGCAGCGGGGCTCCCCCATGATTCAAGCTGTCACTTAATAACACAGATCCTGGGCCTGCCTCTCTAAATGGGGCAGCGGGACTCATACTCGCCTGTCCACCTCAACAATGAGGCTGAAGATGTGAACGTGCTCTGAGCACTATGGCACTGGGGTTGCCTTATGTACTCTTTAGCCTCGCTGGGCACTGGATGGCCCTGAGGTCCCAGAAGTTCTGTTGCAGGTACCCAGGTAGGACCCAAACCTGGCCTGTTACTTCTGAAACTTGTCCTTTCTCTAAACACCCAGGGCCAACCTGTGTGCTAAGCGGCCCCTCCCCCGGTGCATGGTGGGCAGGGTCACTGTCCAGTCTTACACGTGTACATATGACCTGGTGCTGAGTGTCCTTGAGGACCATCTCAGTGACCTCAAGCCATGACCGGAGAATCTCTCAAAGGCCTATCAGGATGCACTGGAAGGGTAACCACTCTGGGTGGTGGTTCTGGCCCCGTCCTGGCCCGAGAGAGCTGAGAACACAACAGAAGATCACAAAGAGCAGGACTGCAGCATCAAGCCAAGCTGACTTCTAAGTCAGGGCCAGAACCACCACCAAAATGGTCCTTGAGGATACTGAGCGCCAACACATGCGTCCAGAGATTATGATAAACGCAGAAGAAAGGATAAAGAAGGAAATAGGAACCCAGAAAACACAGCTGTAAGTCTGGCCAGACGATTTTTGTTTTTTAAGAGACAGGGTCTCTAGGGCTGGGCGCGGTGGCTCACGCCTGTAATCCTAGCACTCTGGGAGGCAGGCGGATTGCTGGAGGTCAGGAGTTCGAAACCACCCTGAGCAAGAGTGAGACCCTGTCTCTACTATAAATAGAAATTAATTGGCCATCTGATATATATAGAAAAAATGAGCAGGGCATGGTGGCACATGCCTGTAGTCCCAGCTACTGGGGAGGCTGAGGCAGGAGGATCGCTTGAGCCCAGGAGTTTGAGGTTGCTGTGAGCAAGGCTGACACCATGGCACTCACTCTAGCCTGGGCAATTAAGCGAGACTCTGTCTCAAAAAAAAAAAAAAAAAAAAGAGACAGGGTCTCGCCCTGTTGCACAGGCTGGAGTACAGTAGTGCCATCATAGCTCGCTACGGCCTCAAACAATCCTCCTGCCTCAGCCTCTCAAGTAGTTGGGACTACAGGTTATGCCACCACACCCAGCTGATGCTTAATTTTTTGTAGAGATGGGGTTTCACTATGCTGCCAGGGCTGGTCTTGAACTCTTGGCCTCAACTGATCTTCCCACTTCAGCCTCCCAAAGTGTTGGGATTACTGGCATGAGCCAGCACGCCTAGCCTTAGATCATGTAAAATAAAATGGAAACAAACTCCACAAGTCAGCAAGAGAAGTCTGCAGAGAGGAGTGCTCCAAAGCTGTCCTTGGTTAGCATCATGTTTGTCCCAGGAAGGAAGGACAATTGTACCCAGGAAGAAAACTCCTGCTCACCAAGGAGGAGTCTGAGTCCAGAGACGGGAGCTGGTCTTTGACAGCTTCGAGGATGGCGTCCCAGGGCCCCACCTGGGAGGCCCAGGCAGAGCGAGGTGAGGGTGCTGCATCTTTGTCTTTGGATGCCATGAGGGCCTAGGCTCGCAGATGCCTCCTCAGTGCGCCATCATCCAGGGAGCCCTGCGGAGCACACGGGGTGAGGTAAGGGAGTCCAGGCAGCAAGGGCAGGAGAGCGAGGGCTGCCTTTTCAAAGCCTCCCCCAGCCATAGGAGGCGAAAGACTGGCAGACCTCGACTCCTACCCCAGCTTCCTTCTGGTCCGCAAGCTCCTGTAACTGAGTGCCAGGCACTCTGTGTGTCTGTGTAGTAGAGCCTGTACAGCATGTATATAATGGCATATGTAATATACAGATACACGTATTGATGTATGACACACACATGATATGTAGAGGATATGTAGAATGATATGTGTAGATGACATATAATGATATATGGATATTATATATCACAATAACATAATCCGATTATCGCCATTTTGTAGGCTTAGGTTAGTAAATGGCAAAGATAGAATCTGAATCAGTTAGGGGGAATTTCAAACCCCATTACCCTTTTCTGCCCCTTACAAAAGAACAGATGAGAGGCATTTTGGAGTCACCACTCACCTTATACCCTTGGCCCCTTATACCCAAGCACTGCGCCAGCCCCCACCTTTGTATCTCAGAGTCTAAAAGCAGATGGTGCTGTTCCTCAGGGGCCAGGGGGCTTGTGGGATGTGGGCTGACTGCATGCAGAGCCAATGTCTGGAGAACCTTTACAGCCTGAGGGCCACGGACCTATAAAATGAGGAAGCAGTGCTGCCCTGCCTTGGCCCAGCCCCCACTGGCACTGGCTTTGCACTCAGCTCCCCTCACTCCAAGTCAGGGCAGCAGCAGGGGCTTTTGGGACCGAGGGCAGATGCTTGGTGCATCCTGAACTGGGAGCAGTGCGGTGGGGACACATCTGGTACACGACCAGCGGATGTTTTTTGTAACTGGGGTTCCCTTCTGCAATTCAGGGCACAGTGTTTGATAGGGCAACAAAATCGCCGGGGTGAAGGGGACCACCAGAGACGCTGATAGTTCTTCAGGAGGACAATGCAATAGGGCAGGGAAAGGCATTACCAGCAGAGGGAAGTGCGTGTACAATGGCTCAAAGGAGTGAAAAATGCCCGACACGTTTGAAGGAAGGTGTCAGTTGCTGGCATCTGCGGTGAAAACGGGCTGGACAATGACGGGTCCTGAAGGCCAAGTTGAGGAGCTCTGCTCATCCAGCAGGCGGGGTCGCGGTCGCGGTCCAGTCCGAGCTGCGGCCCGTTAGCCCCGCCCCGCCCCGCCCCGCCTGCCAGGAGGCAGCCGGTTGTTATGGCAACCAGACGCCAACGGCTTTCTGGGTCGTGCTTTTAAAACCTAAAGCTGGGAGACAGGAAAGCCTACTGCCCTTCCTCGCCCCCCACGCCCAGTCTCTGTTTTCCTCCGGCCCGTCCGACTCCTGACGTTTGTCTCCACAGCTGCGGCAGGCCCGAGGCCACTCACCGCGGGCCTCCGCCTCCACTCCCCGCGCGGTCCTGCCGGGCTATAAACAGCCTCCAGCGCGTCACTCGGGCCGATTACTGAGGCCGTCACCGCCTGAGACCCCCGTCAGCGGAACATGACGTTACTGGGCCGCCGGCCGCCCTCTCTTCTGCTCCCCTTTCGGGACTTGGCGCGTCCTGCCTCTGTTGCAACAGGATTGGTTCCTCTTGCCAGTGGGGCGGGACAGGGAGAGAAATCCCTGCTTATTGGCTACCGCGGGCATCACTCAGCGAGCTGGGCAAACTGACCGGAAGATCGGGGTGCCAGACGGGCGAATTCCACGGCGCCGGGTTGCTACCCCGGCGTGGACCTGCGAGCGTCCCGGCGTGCCCCGCGCCCTCCCACAACCACTTCCGGGGCGGCAGCCAGGCCGCGGGGGCCGGGCGCTGTGGCCGCGCGGGTGTGCGCGCGGGGCCCGGGGGCGGTGGCCCGGCGAGGGAGCGCGGCAGCGGCTCAAGGGCGGCCCGAGGCCTGAGGCCCAGCGCAGGTAGGCTCCGTGGCGTCCGGGCCCCGCCAGGTGCCAGCACCTGCTGCCCGCCTGGGCCCGGCCCTCGGGCGTCCGACCCTTCGCTTGCTCGCCGCGTGGCTCGATGACTCCGAGCCTCCGCTTCTGTAAGTGTGGAGCGGGGACGGTAACGCCCTGCGCACTGCAGGGTCGGTGTGGGGACGCCTGCGAGGGAGGCGTCGAGAAGCGTCTGTGGCTGTGTGTGCTCGGGCTGTTGGCTGGGGACCCGCCACGGGGCCTGTGAGCAAGCTTTGCGACACCCCAGTCTCTGCTGCAGTTCGGGGTGGCCCTAACTCCCCATGCCCGGGCCAAACTTCCTCCGTGGGCGTGGCAGTGGCCACCAGCATCGCTTTTTTTGTTTGTTTTTTAGTTAAAATTTATTTTAAAGGCAACGTAGCATTTTACAAAATTGATGGAAACAAAAGGTAAAAGTGGAAAGTAAACTATCTCATCCCCAATGCTACTTCCTGAAGATAAATTCTGGAAGTGAAATGCAAAAAGTTTCTACATGTATGCAGATATATGCATGAGTAGAATGGTCATTTCGTTAACGTATTTCCCATCGTTGGGGAGTGTTTGTCATGTGGCAGGATGATAAAGGAAATCATAGTAGCTTTGTAGTTTCCTGGCGTTCGAGTTCTCACTCCATAAGCTCCTGGAGGTTGGGTCTGGTTCTGATTGTTCCTCAGATCTTTGGGGGTGTCAGACATGTGAGTGCCCAATAAATGGAAAGAGAACGTGGGCTCCACCCTGGGGGAGGCCTTGGGAGTAGGAGAGACATGCCCAAGGAAGGCCTGAGGGATGTATTGGAAGGGACCCTGAGCTGACACTCAGCTTATGTGGATTCTTATCAAGGCTCTGTTGGCCAGGACTGTTCAGGGAGAGGGCTGGTTATCTCAGGCTCTACCAGCTGAAGAGGGGGTAGTCCCGGAAGCGGGGCTTTATACCCACCATTACTGCCTGTCAGACCCACACACTCACCAAAGGCCTGCAAAGTCTTTGCCCCCCCCCCCAGTTGTGGCTTGTTTCTTTGGCCATCTTGGCTGTCACCTGGGGCTTGGAAGCATTCTTTAGTAGAAAGTGAGGTTCTAATGGCATCTATAAACTACCACAGTACTTTTAGATCATGTGAATGTGACAAGGCCGCCTTTGTTTTCTTATTTGCTCCCTTCTTCTACACTTTTTCCTGTCACTCCTAGACCTTAGGATCCTGCCAGGAAGCTAATGACTTGGCTTTGATTTGGGTAGGATTCCTGGTGTGCCATTACTGGTATTTTCCGCATGGCAAGGAAAGTGTCACCTCACCAATTAACCAGCCTATCCTGCTTCCCCCCTTATCATGTCTCCCACTTTCAAGGAATGCATGGGTAGGTTCCTGTTCAGTTGGCATTTGCTGAGTACCACCAGCCACATCCTGGTGTCTGTGTTGGGGGCTGTCTTTGCATTTTTTTCAAAAACTTTATATAAAATTTATATACAGTGAAATTAATTTTGGTGTCTAGGTCTTTGGGTTTTGATAAATGCATAGAGTCATGTATTACCACCACAGTCAAGATAGAGAACAGGTCCATCACCCCAAAAATTTCCTCTGCTACCCCTTTGGGCTCCCCAACCCTATTCCTTGGAACTGCTGTTGGGACCTCCACCCCTTTAGTTTTGTCTTTTCTAGAATGTCATAAAGGAAATTACACAGCAGGCAGCCTTTTGAATGATCTCTTCCATTTAGCATAATGCGTTTGAAATAGTTTCTTGTTTGGTGTTTATTGCTGTGTAACATTGTATGGATGTACCACCATAGTTATCCATTCTTCCGTGTTTTTTTTTTTTTTTTTTTTGAGACAGGGTCTCACTTTGTTGCCCAGGCTAGAGTGAGTGCTGTGCCATGGCATCAGCCTAACTCACAGCAACCTCAAACTCCTGGGCTCAAGCAATCCTACTGCCTCAGCCTCCGGAGTAGCTGGGACTACAGGCATGCGCTACCATGCCCGGCTAATTTTTTCTATATATATTAGTTGGCCAATTAATTTCTATTTATAGTAGAGACGGGGTCTCACTCAGGCTGGTTTCGAACTTTTGACCTCAAGCAATCTGGCTGCCTCAGCCTCCCAGAGTGCTAGGATTACAGGTGTGAGCCACTGCACCTGGCCCTTCCATGTGTTTTAACACCAGCTGTGAGATAACATGGCCAAGTTAGCCAGTGAGGAACTGGGGTTGGAGATGCTAAGTAGCAGAGCTGAATTTTGATCTAACCCTCAGTCTAGGATTCTTTCTCAACAAACCTAGGAGCTGATTTGATCAAATGACCCAGTTGGCATTTCTTTACTGCCCATCTGAGAGGTTTTCAGGCTTCTAGAGTTCCTAGAGAATGCCCTTTTGGAATCCGGGGCCTGTGGATGTAAGAAGGAAAATGGACACTGCAGTTAATGACTCACCACGCATCCTCCTCTTTTTCTGCCTGGTGTCAAGCTCACCAGCCTTAGCATGATGGAGCTACCCAGACCATACACTATTTAACTGAAGAACATTGTCTAAGTCAGTCCCAGGGTTGACTGCATTGCATAGCAATCTGATAGGTTAGTGACGCAGCAGCCCACAGAGGGTTGGAGTATGACTAGCCCGTTCATGCCCTGGAACAACGGGAAGGAAAGACCTAACCCCTGGGCCTCCCTCCGCAGTGATGTCTGAGCTCAGCGATGAGGCCAGCGAGCCGGAACTCCTGAACCGCAGCTTATCCATGTGGCACGGGCTGGGGGCGCAGGTCAGCAAGGAGGAGCTGGACGTGCCCTTGGACCTTCACACAGCCGCGTCCATCGGCCAGTATGAAGTGGTGAAGGAATGTGTGCAGCGGTAAGAGATCCTGGGGAACTTCCTTCTCTCACATTTTAAGTAGCATCTCAGTGGCTTCAGACCCCATGCGATGGGGCTTCGCACACAATTGTACATGTTTCATATACGTGGGGTGGGTTAACCTGCTTACTTCAGGCAGTTGTCAGCAATGATTTGTGCTGGGCACTGACAAGGAAGGCAGTTTTTTGGAAGGCAGTTTTTCTAGGAAGAAAAAAGGTGATTTAAACTTTAATCATAGGCTTATAAACATTAATTTATAGTTTACTTTAACCAGAGTAATTTTATGATTTTCACTGATTGCAGAAATGCTAAAACAAACAAACAAAACAAAAATAATGCTAGAAAGTGATGATCCTGGCCTTCTTTCCCTGGAGGGTTTATTTGATCCCTCTTTTGCCACAAAGGTGGAGAGAGGCCGGCTTTTAGCTCCCCTCTGGGGGTGGCCTCCCAACCTCACTGCCCACTTGCTGTTTTACTAATCTGTATAGGAATAGTAAGTCCCAATACAACGAAGAGCCTATGGCAGGGCCCGTGGCTGCGTCTTGCTCATAGTACAATGTGATACTTAAAGTAATTTTTGGAACAGGGATCCTCTCCTTACCTCCACTCCTTTGTGCACCGCCATATTTTATGCTTTCTCTGTTTCTCATTTCTCATTTGGTAACTTGGGGCAACGATTTCTGTCCATACCGCTGTGTGCCTTCTCCAGTTCCTGGTGAGCCAAAGAAAGCCTCGTTGAAGCCCCAGGTCTCTGGTTCCCAAGTCATAGGCCCTTACTTAGACATACCTGGCCAGCGGGGTACCAGCGTGCCCTGGGAAAGGGTAATCTGTGGCGCTCCTGGAGGTACGCAGTCAGCACGTCCCTTCACAGGCTCACCAGGACCGCTGTTGTGACTCTGCTCCTTTGGAGTGCTCAGCCTCTCAAAGCTTCGGGTGTCCTGCTGTTAATAAATTACGTAGTCCAGAATGACTCCTCGGAGGAGCAGAGGGGAAGCAAGTGTTTGACGGGGGATTTTGACACTAGCTGAGATGGAGGCTTGCTGACAGTAAGCACAGACCGGGGCCAGAGGGAAGTTGGAAGCATCAAAGGGAGGATTGGGGGTGAAGGGGAGGCAAGAGAGCCTCAGAGAGATGCTTTGCTGTTGTGTAGAGGAAAGCAGTATAGGGATGAACTGGGTCCATTCAGGTTAATTCCAGGAGGCGTCCCCTCATGGCTGCCCTGGCCAGTAGCTGCCACTGCACTCCTGCTAGGATCAGGACCTTCTGGAACGGCTGCCTAGGCATGCATCCCAGAGTCAGTAGAAGATGCTAGTGAATGGAGCAATTGCCCGGTATAGTTTAATGTGTGCATCCTATGAGAGGCACAGATTGCGTGGCTTGGTGGTCAGTTGTTGCTGTCACCAGAGGCAAGGATCATGGAAGAGTTGGCCTGTGAGGCGTTAACTGTGCAATATGCCCCTGGGAGTGGATGTTATTTTAAAATGTAACTCCCTACTCTAATCCCAAAGTCTGGGCTGGGAAGCCCACATTTTTATTTTCTTGTAAGAAAATGTATTTTCAGAATTTTAATGGAAATACAGGATTCTTTGGTAACAAATTTGTTAAGAATATTTCTGTAGGGTGAGGTAACAAAGGAGAAATCAGTGGGACTTGTCCATCGTTGGAGTCCCTTCCTCTCTCCTTGTTCCCCCTCTCCACCCAGCAGTAGACTAGCAGACTTGGGTCACTACGTGGTAGGTGGTCAAGACTCGGGTCAGGGTTCTTAGCCTTAGTTGCTGATGGTCTGGGCTGGAGCATTTTTTTGCCCTTTGCTGCGGGTGGCCATCCTGTGCACTGCAGGATGTTTAGCAGCATCCCTGGCCTCCACCTGCTAAATGCCAGTAGCTCTTCCCTCCCCAGGTAGGATAACCAAACATGTCTCCAGACTTCTCCAAACAGCCCCTGGTTTAGTACCATCTAGCTAGCTGCTGGTATGAAAGAAGAGAGTTGAATTGCTGGTCTTGGGCTAAGAGGAGGGCAGATGAGATCATGAAATCAGGAGGGAGACAAAGGCTAAGGCTTTTGCAAAGGCAGTTATACAAGCAACTGTAAGCATTTGCCTGCCTGCCTGCCCCCCACCCTAGTGACATCCAGGGTGGCAGATAACTTCTGCTTCCTGTCAACTTGTTCAACTGGGCCTGGACTTGCCACCAGCTCTGGTAAACCCTGCGTGTGAGATGGCTGGGCGTGTCTAGCATATCTTGCATTTGTTTAGGAGAGAGTTAGATTTGAATAAGAAGAATGGTGGTGGCTGGACCCCGCTGATGTATGCCTCCTACATTGGACACGATACCATCGTGCACCTGCTGCTCGAGGCAGGGGTGAGTGTGAATGTGCCGACCCCGGAAGGGCAGACTCCACTGATGCTGGCCTCCAGCTGTGGCAACGAGAGCATCGCCTACTTTCTCCTCCAGGTGAGCTACGAGGGGACTCAGGCCCAGAAACCTGAGGGGCTCCCCCAGCCACTCTGACAGACGTGAACCACTGCAGGCCATAGCGTGCGTGTGTGCTCGTGTAATCGCTTCTGATTCTTTCAGCGTCACGGCCTGGAGGGCGCCTGCCCTGCGCAGAGGAGACGAGGCTGTAACACACGTTCTGTGTTCTCTTGAAGCAAGGTGCTGAACTAGAGATGAAGGACATTCAAGGCTGGACTGCCCTCTTCCACTGCACCAGTGCCGGGCACCAGCAGGTGGTCAAGTTCCTTTTGGACAATGGAGCAAATGCCAACGTGAGGTGATCACCACATCTTTTGTGGCCATAGGAGTGGGCCGGTTCTCTTCTAACGCTAAGAAGGGCAGCTCTAGGCAGCTGACCAGAGTTCAGGGCCACCCCTGTGTCAGCATGAGAGCTTCTAGACAAAGGGGTGGAATGGACAGAGTCCCACCCAGGCTCAGAACTTTTCACCTATCTTCCAGGTGACCTTGGGTGCATCTCTTCAGGCCCTCAGAGCTTCATTTTGTTTATCTGACAACCAGGAATAGCTGTGCCCACGTCACAGAGCTATTAAAAGAGTTACATGTGTCATAGGCCAGGAGCAGGCCATAGCACATGGCTTTTAAATGACACAAATTAAGTGCTAATTCCTTCCTTTCTCTTACCTTTTGTATGTATCAGGTGAGGTGATGCTTTGAAAACCATCATGAATTTTATTTATTATTATTATTTATTTATTTATGTTTAATTTTTTGAGAAAAGATCTCACAGTGTTGCCTGGACTGGTCTTGAACTTCTAGGCTCAAGCAACACTCCTGGCCTCAGCCTCCCGAGTAGCTGTGGGTAGCTGGGACTATAGGTGTGCATTACCGTGCTGGGCTCCAACCATGAGTTTTATAAGCTGGAAGTGATATTATTGTCTAAAGCATGTCATGATAATAATCTCCTTTCAACACAGCAGGTACCAACACAGCATCCACCTGATACTGTGCACAGCCCCCTGGCTAATGCTATCTGTTGTACGACACATCATAATTTTTTATGCCACTAGGAAAGAAAGAAAATGCTACTTCTGGGAGGCTGAGGCAGGAGGATCGCTTGAGGTCCGGAGTTTGAGACCATCCTGTGCAAGACCGAGACCCCGTCTCTACTAAAAAGGAAAGAAATTAATTGGCCAACTAAAAATATATATAGAGAAAAAATTAGCTGGGCATGGTGGCGCGTGCCTGTAGTCCCAGCTACTTGGGAGGCTGAGGCAGGAGGATTGCTTGAGCCCAGGAGATTGAGGTTGCTGTGAGCTAGGTTGACACCACGGCACTCTAGCCGGGCAACAGAAGTTAGACTGTCTCAAAAAAAAAAAAAAAAAGAAAGAAAATGCTACTTATTAAAAGTCAACTTACCTGTTGATTTAAAGACACATTTAAAGACACAACTTCAGAGATGTTAAAATGTGAAAATGTATATCTTAGAATGGATTAAAAGCAGCACTTAGGCCGGGCGCGGTGGCTCACGCTTGTAATCCTAGCACTCTGGGAGGCCGAGGTGGGCGGATTGCTCAAGGTCAGGAGTTCAAAACCAGCCTGAGCGAGACCCTGTCTCTACTATAAAAATAGAAAGAAATTAATTGGCCAACTAATACATATATATATATAAAATTAGCCGGGCATGGTGGCTCGTGCCTGCACTCACTCTAGCCTAGGCAAGAAAGTGAGACTCTGTCTCAAAAAAAAAAAAAGCAGCATTTAGCATGGGTCCTGACTTCTAGACCAGCATGAACAAGGAAGGGTTGGGTAGCCCTCTAAACACAGCGCTGAGTCAGTGATAAGCAAACGCCAAAGCTAAGATGCAGGTACTAACCTTACCACAGTCAGTCAGCACTGGAGCTTCAGGAGGGCTTCGTGGAGGATGCTGAATTCGAAAGCCAGGATTTGGATAGGTAGGTCAGAGGCATTAGCTCTCTGTGAGGAGTGAAGAGCCAGAGCTGCTTTATGAGCATGACTGAAGTAGAGGTGATAGCAGGTAGGAACAGCCCAGAAGGAGGGAAGACAGGGAGACAGAGCTGTCTTCAGGACAAAAGGGCAGTGCTGGAATAAACCCCAGAAAAGTTAATGAAGCTGATGTATTAACTTTTCTTATCTTGCCTCATTATTCTTAGGGAAGAGAGAGACCTCTCTATACCTAGGGGTAGGGGGTGGGTACATGGGCCAGGTTTTGTCTTCAGCAGGGCGTTTGTGCCTGGCAGAACTTCTCTCTGCTAACCATTGACTGTGGCTGTTGTCTTGCAGGGAGCCAATATATGGATTTACTCCTCTGATGGAAGCAGCTGCTGCTGGTCATGAAATAATCGTGCAGTATTTTCTGAATCACGTAAGTGACCCTGTTTATTAGTTTGTGATTTAGTCACAGCAAATGAGGAATCATATTACTGAAGTGTAAACTACAACAGAATTTTCTTTTACACAAAAAATAACTGCTCTTCATTTGTTTATTCAATACATTTTCATTGAGTGTCTGTTGATGCCAAGTGTTGAGTGGTGATTAGGCATTAGAGGTACCGTGGTAAGAATAGATACCTCTTCTTGTAATAATTTGGAAAATACTATTATTTCAAAAGTGTAGTTTTGAAAAAAAAAAAAAAATTTGACCCTTGTGACATTTTTGAAAAAAAAGTGTAGGAAAATATTTTAAATAGTAAATAGCACTCATAATCTCATCACTTAGAAACATATGGAATAAGAAAGCAGACATCGTCTTTTTCAAGCTTCTCTTGCTGCTCCCCAAGCTACCCTCTTGGTTTGATAAAGAGCTCCCCAGGACTTTTCCTCTGCTGTTCAAAGCTGTGTTTATAGATAACTGCATGCACACTGCTTTTTTTTTTTTTTTTTTGAGACAGAGTCTCGCTTTGTTGCCCAGGCTAGAGTGAGTGCCATGGCATCAGCCTAGCTCACAGCAACCTCATACTCCTGGGCTCAAGCAATCCTCCTGCCTCAGCCTCCCGAGTAGCTGGGACTACAGGCATGTGCCACCATGCCCGGCTAATTTTTTCTATATATATTAGTTGGCCAATTAATTTCTTTCTATTTATAGTAGAGACGGGGCCTCGCTCTTGTTCAGGCTAGTTTCGAACTCCTGACCTTGAGCAATCTGCCCGCCTCGGCCTCCCAGAGAGCTAGGATTACAGGCATGAGCCACCGTGCCCGGCCTGCTTTTTGTTTTGAATAAACGAGGGGTTCTGTATATTTTTGTTCTGTAACTTTTTAAAAAATGACTTAATATACCATAGATGTCTTATTGTACAGTATTCCATGTATACTGTGTCATAATTAATAAATTTCTTATTAATAGAAATTTCATTTCCAACATTTTGCAATTATAAACAGTGCTCCAGGGATTATCCTTTTATACACAGCTTTGGTACACTTGCAGTTATTTTTGTATGTTGTATTTCTACAAGAAAGGCATTGCTGGTGCTCACATTTTAAATGTAATAGGCCCAGGTCAGCTGGGCACAGTGGCTCACACTTCTAACCCTAACACTTTGGGAGACTGAGGCAAGAGGATCACTTGAAGGCAGGAATTCAAGACTAGCCTGGGTAACATAGTGAGACCCGATCTTCACCAAAAAAAAAATTTAATAGGTCCTAATAAAAAGATAATTAAATTAAAAGACAAAAGACAGGCAGAGGGTCTGAATAGACATTCTGCAAAGAAAATAAACAAATGGTGAATAAGCACATGAAAAAATGCTTGCACAATTGTTGGTATGGAGTCCCTGTGTTGTGTAAATCTTCTCTATAAAAAAAAAATTTAGAAATAAAAATTAGCTGGGTGTGGTGATATGTACCTGTAAGTCCCAGCTTTTCCAGAGGCTGAGGCAGGAGGTTCGCATGAGTCCAGGAGTTTGAGGTTGCAGTGACCTATGATGACCCCACTGTACTCCAGCCTGGGCAACAGAGTGAGACTCTCTCTCAATGAAAAAGAAAAAGAAAAAATCCTTGACAGCATTAGTCACCAGACAGAGTGACATGCAAATCATAATTAATAGGGTCTCTATAATGAAAAGAACAGACAATAACAAGTATTAGTGAAGATGTAGAGAAATTAGACCCTTCACATGCTGCTGAGGGGAATAGTATGATAGTGTAGCCTCTTTGGAAAACAGTCTGGCAGTTCCTCAAACAGTTACACCTAGAGTTACCATAGAACCCAGCGATTCCATTCCTATATATATACCCAAGAGGACTGAAAACATGTCCACACAGAAACTTGTACACAAATGTTCATAGCAGTATTATTCATGGTAGCCAAAAAGTGGAAACAATCTAGATGGATGGCTATCTACTCATGAATGCATAAATAAAATGTATATCTTTTTTTTTTTTTTTTTTTTTTTGAGACAGAGTCTCGCTTTGTTGCCCAGGCTAGAGTGAGTGCCGTGGTGTCAGCCTAGCTCACAGCAACCTCAAACTCCTGGGCTCAAGCGATCCTGCTGCCTTAGCCTCCCGAGTAGCTGGGACTACAGGCATGTGCCACCATGCCCGGCTAATTTTTTCTCTATATATATTAGTTGGCCAATTAATTTCTTTCTATTTTTATAGTAGAGAGAGGGTCTCGCTCTTGCTCAGGCTGGTTTTGAACTCCTGACCTCGAGCAATCCGCCTGCCTCGGCCTCGGCCTCGGCCTCCCAGAGTGCTAGGATTACAGGCGTGAGCCACTGCACCTGGCCAACAAAATGTGTATCTATACAAGAGAATATTATGAAGCCATAAAAAGGAATGAAGCCCTAAACATGCTGCAGCATGAATGAACCATGAAAACATTAGGCTCAGTGGAAGAAGCCAGACAAAAGACACATAGCATGATCCCATTCCTGTGGAATGTCCAGGAAAAGCAGAGCTGTGGAGATAGGAAGTAGATTAGTGTTTGGGGTGAGAGGGAAGAATAGGAAGACTGGGGAGGGAGTGATGGCTGAAGGGTACAGGATTTCTTTTTCGGGTGATAAAAATGTTCTAAAATTGATTGTGGTGATGGTTGCACAGTTCTGTGAACATACTAGAAGCTACTGACTTATATAGTGTGACTGGGTGAATTGAATGGTGTATAAGCAGTATCTCGATAAAGCTGCTACAGGGGAATATTCCATCCTAACAAATTCCTGCTGACAAGGTTGTTTCTGTTGTCCTTCCCTCCACTAATGTATGAAGGTGCCCATTTTCTCACATCTTCATCAGCCCTGGATGTTAAATTAGTCTTTTAAGTTTTTGGCAATCTGGTGAGAGAATTATAACATCTTATTTTGGTTTGTACTTATTAAATGGTTGAACATTTTACAATATATTTGTTGGTCATTTGTATTTTATGAATTGTCTCTTTGTTTTCAGCCCAAGTTTCTATTGGATAGTTTTTTTTTTCTCACTTTTTGGTAGGAACTTTTTGAATAATGAAATTTGAACATGGTATCTCTTTTAAAAAAAGAATTTGGAAACAGAACACGCACATGGTAAACAAGCAGATGAGGCAGAAGGGAGTGTTGTGGGCCTGCCTCCCTCCCCTGTGCCTGGGTCTCCTTGGTCCCCTCCCCAAGGAAGTGTCTGCACAGGCCCTTTGCATTTATACCCACAGGCGTGTGTCTGGCCCTACAGGAAACTGCTCCCACCTTGCTTTCTTCTCATACTTAACAATCATGGAGATTATTCTATGTCAGCATGTAAATAGCTCTCTCTTTTCTTTCTTTTGTGGTGGCATAGTATCCCCCTGTAGGATGAATCAGAGTTTCCAAAACAGTGGTCTAAATGTAGCATTCAGTCATTGCCAGCCATTGGCTGTTCTGCCCAGCACAGTGCAGAACATCAGAACATCTTTGCACATATGTCTATAAACACATGTGCAACCACATCTGTGTGGTACAGTACTAAAGGGAGACATTTTGGGTAAAGTATAAGCACAGTCTCAACATGGATGTTGCCAAATTGCCATCCAGAGAGCGAGTTGTACCATCTTACATTCCCACAGAGGTAAGAATTATGCATCTGAAATTATGAAGATAGTATAAACAACAACAAAGAACAGAGGATAGTGCAGCTCACCTGCATGGATCCAGTGCCTGTGCTTGACACGTGTAACATTTTGCCTTATTTGCCTCAGCTTGTCTGCTTTTTTTTTAAAGGACACAATAGAAATCCCCTTTGTAGCCCTTCTTGACCCCATCCACCCGTCCTCTTCCAGAGGTAACCTCTCAAGATGTTGGTGTGTACCTTTCCTGTCCATGACATTATAATTACATACTATGTGTCCTTAATGTATGGACTTGTTTTGTAATTTTTAAAGCTTTATACAAATAACATATCAGGCCAACACTGTGAGTGGCTCACACCTGTAATCCCAGCGCTTTGGCAGGCCAAGGCAGAAGGATTGCTTGAGGCCAGGAGTTTGAGACCAGCCTGGGTAACATAGTGAGACTCCGTCTCTACAAAAATTAAAAAATTAGTCAGGCATGGTGGCACACACTTGTAGTCCCAGCTGCTTGGGAGGCCGAGTTGGGAGGATCTCTTGAGCCCAAGGAGTTTGAGGTTGCTGTGAGCTAGGCTGATGCCACGGCACTCTAGCCGGGGCAACAGAGTGAGACTCTGTCAAAAAAAAAAAAAAAAAAGGAAAGCATATCAGAAAACGAGAAACTTTAGGTCTTTTATCCATTGTGCATATTACTGTTTGTTTATGGTTAAAACCTGTAGGTTCCTGCTATCAAACTAGAACATAGCTTTTAAGGCTGAAGATTTTATAGCTGATTTCTAACCAGAACTCTGGAAAGTGGGATGGAGGGGAGGTTCCAGAAAGTTAAGCTCAGTGGGCTCTCATAAAAATGTACTTTGTTCCTACTAGAGAGATGTATGGTAACCACTTTCTGTATTGGACCTAAGACCATCGGTTGATAATGGTTTTACAAAGTAGGGGAAAAAAAGACATATAAATATTTATTATTCAAGTGGTGCATACTTGCTACAAATAAGTTAGAAAATACAGTGAAGCAAAAAGAAAGCAGAAGTCACTGCTCATCCCATCCTCCAGAGATAGCACATTAACGTTAACACGTCGTTGAGTGTCCTATGAGTGTCCTCGTGTTCACAGTGCACATTTGAAGTCAAAGAGGAGTCACGCCATACAGATGTTCTGTAATCTGATTTTTTCTCTTTATGGTGCCGTGTGCCCACCTGTCCGTGTTGCTGCACATCCACCCCTGCGTAAATAGGCAGGAGGGCTCCATTTTCTAGATACACTCTCACTCAGCTCACTAATTCCCATTTTTAGCTTCTTTCTGTTTCTTACTGTGCTAAATGCTACAGTGAAAATTCTGAATTTTAGTAGATATCCTGGATTATTTCCTTAGGTTAAATTTTTGGAAGATGAATTGCTAGATCAAAGGGTGAATACATTTTTTTGTTTTGTTTTGTTTTGTTTTAAAGAGTCAGGGTCTTGCTCTGTTGCCCAGGCTGGAATGCTGTGGTGGGATCATAGTTCACTACAACCTCCAAGTCCTGGGCTCAAGCAATCCTCCTGCGTCAGCCTCCCTCGTAGCTGGGACTATAGGTATGCACCACCACACCCGGCTAATTTTAAATTTTTGTAGAGATGGGGGTCTCACTACATTGCATGGACTAGTCTCGAACTCTGGGCTCAAGTGATCCTCCAGCATGGGCCTTCCTAAGTGCTGAGATTACAGGAGTGAGCCACTGCGCCTGGTCAGATGGTTGGGTCAGAAGCTGTGCACGATGGCTGATTTGCCCTCCTACCTTCAGCTATGGACTGCATGGTTGAAGCTTTTAAATTAGAAAACTTAATGGGCTTTTCCAGTTTCAAAAGGAAACATGCTTATGGTAGTACATTTAGAAAATACAGAAGATTAGAAAAATCCCTATCATCTTACTGCTTAAAAATAATATTAACATTTTCAGCATGTTTCCTTACAGTATTGTTTTCTATGCACTTTTTTGTTTTGTCTTGTTTTGCTGTTGTAATGTATATATAGTTTTGTATCATGATCCTTTTATAAACTTGATTATACAACTGTTTGTAAATATCACCATTTATTGCAGTAATATAGCTGACTCTATAATATAGTAATATAGCTCATCCTCCTTGAGCATTTGTCTCCAGATTTTCATTTTTGCAAATATGTTGTGCTAAACATCTTTGTGCATAAAAGCTTTCACCGTACTTAGGAGTATTTTCTTAGAATGGAGTCACATAGGTGGAATTGTGCTGAAAGACTATGAATACATTTTAGAGCTTTGGATAAAGGTGACCAAATTCTGTTTCAGAGGGTGGTGCTTTCATTCTGACTAGGTGTAGAAGGCTGCTGCTTTAACGAACCGTTGTCTCCAGCTCTCTCTGTGTGAAGAGAGTGAAGTGAGTGGGACACAAGCCTGGTGCAGAAGGTGAAGGCTGGGCTCTCTGCATGGTGGCCGCCACTCCCCCGCCAAGCGAGATCATGAACCTGTTAGGCAGAGTGTCGAAGGCCAGGAGCTGTTGCCCCTGCCCAGACCCTAGAACCCCACCCCACTTATCCTTGTCATTGAGAAGAGAGCGAGAGCAAAACTTGTGGTTGTGATCCAAAGGAGCCTGCCCCTCTCTCTCTCAGAGATGCCTTTCCTCACCCAGGGCAGGTGCACAGAAGCTTACACGCTTCCTTTTCTTACCCCGAGTCAGCAGCCCGGGAAGTATGGGTGCCCTGAAGGAGAGCGCCCTAACCCTTTCTTTGTGGACATTTACAGGGAGTCAAAGTGGACACGAGAGACCATAGTGGAGCCACAGCCCGGATGCTGGCCAAGCAGTATGGACACATGAAGATCGTGGCCTTGATGGACACTTACTCACCCTCTCTGCCCAAGAGCCTCTATTGGAGCCCAGGTACCTGTGTCTATCAGCTGTGTCTACCCTGAGTGTTAGGGGCACCAGGGGAGAAAGACGCCCCCTTCCCCCTTCCTGGTTTCCACCTGCTCCCCTGAGATTTGTCTCTGACATGCCTGCTGGGAGACCATCTCTGCCTCCCCCTGCTGACTCCATGTGTGGTCAAGGTTGAGGCCTCTGGTCTAACAGAAGAGAGAGGCAGTTGTTAGACAGGTACAGTGTAGAGTGGTACCTATGTGTGAAAACACGCACAGGATGCAGGAATTGGTGCCCATGGGAAGGAGGGGGGTTGGGAAGGGAGGGAGACTTCACTGGAGGGGGGTGTCTCTTCTTATTTTTATTTTTTTACTTTGCCTATGGTGTTATGTTTTAGTTTTATATAGTCAAATTTATTAATCTTTTTTTTATATTCATAAAATAAATTTAGCTAATCTTTCCTGTATTGTTCCAATTTTAGTAAATGTGCTGCCGAAGCAAGCCCCAAATTTATTAATCTTTATTGCCTCTGGATTTTGAGTTGGAGAAAATCATTCCCAAGGCCCTTGTACAAGAATTCACTCAGATTTTCTTCTAATACTTACATGGTTTCAGTTTTTACATTTAGATCTCTGATCCATTTACACTTTATTTTCATATATGGTGTGAGGTATGGATCCACTTTTATCTTTTTCCAAATGGTTACATAGTTGTCTTGGTATCAGTTATTTAAAAATCCATCTTTGATCTAGTGTTCTGAGATGCCATACTTATCACATACTATATTTCTATTTATACTTGAGTCTTTTCCTGAACTTTAATTCCATTGATCTGTCTGTATTCATGCACCAAAGCTATGCTGTTTTGATCATAGAGGCTTTTTGTAGTATGTTTTACAATCACGTAGGGCAAGTCCCCATCATAGCTTTCCTCCTCTTTTTCACTGTTTCCCAAGCTATTGCTTATTTTTCTGTTTGAACTTGAATATTAACTTGTCTAGCTTCTTCTTAAGAACAGAGTGTGCATATTTTTATTGATAATTGTGGTAAATTTCTAAATTAACTACATGTTGTTGAGTTGTCCTATCTAAGAACAAGGTATCTCTTTTTGTTCCAGTGTACTTTGGGTCTCATAGGAAGGTGTCAGATTTTTCCTCATATACATTTTGCATGTAACGTAAATTTATTTCTAAGTATATGATCATATTTGTTGCTCTGATAAGTGGAATTTTCTCTACTATTATATCCTTTGCTTATTGTTAGTGTGTATGAAGGCAATTGACTTCTCTAAACTGATTTTATATTCTGCTACTTTACTGAATTCTTTTTTTTCTTGTTTTTTTTTTTTTTGTTTGTTTGTTTGTTTTGAAACAGAGTCTCACTTTGTTGCCCAGGCTAGAGTGAGTGCCATGGCATCAGCGTAGCTCACAGCAACCTCAAACTCCTGGGCTCAAGCAATCCTCCTGCCTCAGCCTCCCAAGTAGCTGGGACTATAGGCATGCGCCACCATGCCCGGCTAATTTTTTCTATATATATTAGTTGGCCAATTAATTTCTTTATAGTAGAGACGGGGTCTCGCTCCTGCCTCAGCCTCCCAGAGAGCTAGGATTACAGGCGTGAGCCACCGCAGCCGGCCTACTGAATTCTTTTATTGTTCAAGTTAGTTTTTTTATTCTCTAGGGCTTTTCAGGTATACTACCATAAAATCTGCAAGTACAGATTCGCTACTTCATTCTAATTCTCAAGCCTCTGATGTTTTTGAATTACCTTGTTCTTTTGTTTAGCTGCCAAGACTTTTAGTATAGTGTTAAAGGCAATGGAAATGGTGCACATCCTTACCTTGGTCCTGACCTTAGTGGAAATGCCAGATTAAGTAGGAGGCTCGCTTTAGAGGAAGGTGTATGTATATTTAAAACGTATATATATAAAATATGTATATTTTATCATATTAAGAAAGTATTCATTAATTCCTATATTCTTGAGTATTCTTTTTTAGGAATAGCTGTTGAATTTTGTCAAAGACTTTTTCCACATCTGTGGAGATGATTAGGAATTTTCTTAGTAGCTCTCTCTCTTCATGTGGTATATTAATGAATTTCCTAATTATGAACCAACTTTACATTCTTGGCATAAATTGTAATTGATGTATTATTTTCTTCATGTGTTTTTGGATTCTATTTGTTAATTTTTTTAGTATGTTTGTATAGATATTTATAAGTGATTGGTCTGTGATTTTCTGTTTTTGTTTTGTCTTTATCAGGTATAAGTATCAATATTATACTTCATAAAAAGAATCTGAGAGCTTTCCTTCCTTTTCTGTGTTCTAGAATGGTACATGTAACATTGGTGAGACCTGGCCTTAGAAAGGTTGGCAGAATTCTCCTGTGAAACCATCTGGTTTCCTTCTGTGGGTGCTTCCTTGACGAAATTTTTCAGTTTCTTCTATAGAGATTTGCCTGCTTAAGCTTTCTGTTTTTACTGGGATCAGTTTTGGTAAACTGCATTTTTCTAAGAAATCATTTCATCTAGGATTTCAGACTTATTTGCAGAAGTCTGCAAGATAGTTTTTCCCTCCTTTTTAAACATTGTTTGTTTTGTTATTTATTTTTTTGCATGCAAAATGTTTATTTTATTTTTAATTGACACATAATTGTACATATTTATGGGATACAGTGTGATTTTTTGTTTTTTGAGACAGATTCTCGCTTTGTTGCCCAGGCTAGAGTGAGTGCCGTGGCGTCAGCCTAGCTCACAGCAACCTCAAACTCCTGGGCTCAAGCAATCCTTCAGCTTCATCCTCCGGAGTAGCTGGGACTACAGGCACGTGCCATCATGTCTGGCTAATTTTTTCTATATATATTAGTTGACCAATTAATTTCTATTTATAGTAGAGACGGGGTCTCGCTCTTGCTCAGGCTGGTTTTGAACTGTTGATCTCTAGCAATCCGCCTACCTTGGCCTCCCAGAGTGCTAGGATTACAGGCCTGAGCCACCGCCCAGCCTACTATGATTTTGATACAGTGTGATTTTTTGTTTTTGAGACAGATCTCGCTTTGTTGCCCAGGCTAGAGTGAGTGCCGTGGCGTCAGCCTAGCTCACAGCAACTCCAAACTCCTGGGCTCAAGCAATCCTTCAGCTTCATCCTCCAGAGTAGCTGGGACTACAGGCACGTGCCATCATGTCTGGCTAATTTTTTCTATATATATTAGTTGACCAATTAATTTCTATTTATAGTAGAGAGGGGTCTCGCTCTTGCTCAGGCTGGTTTGAACTGTTGATCTCTAGCAATCCGCCTACCTTGGCTCCCAGAGTGCTAGGATTACAGGCCTGAGCCACCGCCCAGGCTACTATGATTTTCTTTTCTTTTTTTTTTTTTGAGACAGAGTCTTACTCTGTTGCCCCAGGCTAGAGTGCCATGGCGTCAGCCTAGCTCACAGCAACCTCAAACTCCTGGGCTCAAGCAATCCTGCCTCATCCTCCCTAGTAGCTGGGACTACAGGCATGTGCTACTGCCTGGCTAATTTTTCTATTAATTTTAATTGGCCCAATGAATTTCTTTCTATTTTTAGTAACACAGGTCTTGCTGTTGCTTAGGCTGGTTTAAACTCCTTACCTTGAGCAATCCTCTGGCCTCAGCCTCCCAGAGTGCTAGGATTACTGGCTCAGTGAGCCACCGCACCTGGCCCAGTGTGATGTTTTGATACATGTAAATGTTGTGTAATGATCAAATTAGGGTAATTAGCTTATCCATCACCTCAAATATTTCTTTCTTTGTGATGAGAATGTTCAGGCCTGGCGTGGTGGCTCACACCTGTAATCCTAGCACTCTGGGAGGCCGAGGATTGCTCAAGGTCAGGAGTTTGAAACCAGCCTGAGCAAGAGTGAGACCCCATCTCTACTTTAAATAGAAAGAAATTAATTGGCCAACGAATATATATATATAT